TACAATTACTTACCGCTGGAATTGTTTATCTAGCATTAGGACCTGTAGTAGGTAAGAATTTATTAATGTTACGATAATTAGGTACATGAAAACACAGATTATTAAGAGTAAAAGATTAGTGAATTTTGGATTAAAATAAACTACATCCAAAGTGGCTCGTTATCACATTGACAATTTTACTGACGTTGTTAAACGTTATCGCATTTTGTCTTAAATGCGGATTAAATTTTCTTCCTCTTTCTAGCTGTATCAATTTAATCAGCTCATAATACTACTAATAATATCTTATCACGGCCTATAGTCATTTGAATAGTTTACAGTGGTAAAGTCCGCAGTAATATTAGTGGTCGAATGGCCCTCTCAACTACAACCACAAAGAACACAATCATGAAGTATTTCCGCATTTCGTTTAATCAATCTGTGGGCGAAAGACAATTTATAGTTCTCTCTTCCTTTTCATCATTTTAATAAAAGTAAAAAATGAAAAGTTGAATTTGGCAGAGCAGTTGATGTGTAGGAAGTAGAGGTATCTTTTGGTCCATTCCCCTCCTGTCCATTAAAGTTAGTCACCGTATATACAACAGTGTAGCTTTTCTAACTTCTAACAGTCTTATACATATATTATTATCTATGTTTACATATTTTGTACATTATATACGTTATATCTCTACCGTTTATCAAAGGTTGTACTCGTAAATGTCTCCTCTATGTATAATACTATTTTTTTAGTTTCTTTTATAAATAAATTCTGTATTAATGTTTACTAATTTGTACCTTGGCATCATGTCACTATCGGAGATGGATTAAACATTAAAACTCGATATTGTTATTTCCAGGTTGGATCAAAGACAATACCACAACTGCCGTGACTCTGCATTGTCTGAACATCTTCACATGGCTGACGGCATTCTCATGGGGCTTAGAAAAATACATTACAATGAGACGTCAGAAAAATTCAAAAGAAGACATTACTAAGACGTAAATACAACGCACTTTGTGAATATTAGTAAATAGGTTAAATGTATTCTAGAATTCGTTGATTGTATTTGTTCGATTAAAAAAAATGTTAATTAGACGATGTCGTGTGCTTCTTGAGGTCAGACGACATTTGACGCGGCGTCATTTATTTATCTATTGTGTGTTGTTTATTGTTTCTTAAGTTTTGTGATAAATGTTTTATGATTCGTTGAATTGTGTGCGCGTTTTGTGTAACTACGCGATGTGTTTATGAAGAGTTATTAATGAGATTATAATTATTCTATAATCGGTAAGCTAAAGAAATATTAAATTTAACATAATATTGTTTAATTTTTTAATAATACGATATAAAGTTGATTTTTTTCAAAACATATTTGTTGAAACAATAATTATGTACTAGATAGTATGATATAGGTAGACTATAAATTATTAAATATAATACTAGTTATTTAGTTTGTGGAGTACTACATTAAATGTTTTAGTTTTAATCTTATTTCCTTAAATAGGTTAAATAATGTTTGAGATTTTAGTGATTCATTTCATAATGAGTAAAGATGTTTTAGTCCAATTTAATTTCCGTAGATTACAAAGTAAATTATGATTGTAAAAACTTCCTTATATATTTTTTTCTTTTCTTTTAATCTAGTGTTATTAGTTACACCAAAAAACCTCTAAAATAAAAAAAATAAAAATCTATGTTAGGATATTAAATTTAACCTCTATAATGGGAATATGTACTGAATTATATAACACTGTTATTATTTTACAATGTCTTTTTTTTCGTTTATGATTCACGGTCAATTTCCAGCGCATCCCGGGCTTGTTAATTGCCACTTCCGAATGTATGGATGTACCGAGAGCCGACTTAATTTGGTAATCTACAGGAAATCCTCATTCATTCTGTTATATACATTGATGCATCTTTACTCTGATGAGTTTATCAATTCCTTTTATATTATAAGGTGGCAAACGAGTAAATAACGAGTAACGAGGCCACCTGAATTCGATAAAATAGCGATGCGACCGCTACCCATAGACATATGCAATTGTAGATGTATTGCGTACCATTGATCGACGGAGAAAAAGACGCACGGAACCAACACAACCTCAGCTAAAACCTCTTCCCTTGGTATTGTCGACCCGGCCCATTCGTGTACCAGATGTTACGGGCTCTACCATTGTTGATTGGTAGGTTCTAGCGTCGGTGGCTGAAGTGTTAAGCATTTGACTCGTAATCTACGGGTCCTAGGATCAAATTCCAGTATATACCAATATGTTTTTCGATTAACATTTATCGACGTAGACTTAATAAAAACGTGTTCGAGAATATCTATTCTATATTGGGGCAAGATATCTTCTTTCTTACTTCTTACTAATAACATAAATGCTAATCTTTAGATGGATGGACAGATGTTTCTTTGAAGGTATGTCCAAAACGGCTAAACAGATTTCGCTGAAATTTGGCATACATGTAGAAGATAGTCTGGAAGAACACGTAGGCTACTTATTAAGTTTTTTTTTCAATTTCGCGCGGACGGAGTCGCGGGCGATAGCTCGTAAGAGTATAAAAGCAATTTTAACACACTGACTTACACACCTTACGATTTTAATCTGGCTATATATGGATTGCTTATCAACATTGGATTTAGTATATCGGTCAAAGAATTCAATACGCAGCAGGTGCACTGTGCATTGTTAATGCCATTTAAAAATATTTATTATGTTCTCTAGATAATGTATTTTCAGTTTTTGCAATATAAAGTCTGATAAACATATCTGATCCGATAGGAGAGGCTCTGCTATCGCGGCTAATTTTGTCAGAAAAAATATACTTAGGTATAGATAATAAGAGGGCTGTTAGTATAGACCGACAAAGTGGGCATAAGTCAAACTATATTATGAGTAGCTGTCGCCCACGTTTCTGAACACACGGAATTAAAAAAATGAGTAGGCTTTGTGTTATTTTAGACTATGTTCTACATCTGTGCCAAATTTCATTAAGATTCGTTGAGCTAACGATATATAACAATGTGCAAATAAACATCTATCCATCCATCCATCCATTTAAACGTTCGCATTTATAATATTAGCAAGATAGCCTACTAACGCTCCTGATAATGGCAAAAAAGTGTCACAATATTTTTTTTCTTTCTGCCCATATAGGTTGTATATAAAATATCTTGATAGAACTTGCCGCGACGGCGGCGGCTCTCTTAGCAGACCTTGCAATGTAGGACACTAGAATAAATGTTTTGTAAATCCTTTTTTTTATGAAGATAAAATAACAAACAGTTGCCAAAATGTTGAATAACAAAAGTATTGTGAAACATTGCCGAAAAACAGATGACAATTTATTTTAATACAAGTGAAAAGACATTGAAAATCGACTTTTATATATGCCATTAACAAAAAAAAAGTACAGCCCTTGTGAAGTTAGACAAGAATTTATCAATTAATTAATTAAAACGATTAACCTTTGTTATTCCGTAGAACACAAATTGAATGAAGGTTGAAGAGAGGTCGTTTAATTCCTGTTCTCTATCGTATTCGTTAAATGCACTGCCGAAACACATGCATAAAAATATAAAGCTACATCCCTTTTTTTAAAAGAGCATGAAAGAATTAAACAATAGGTTTTTGTACAGATAACTCGGCAGGAAGACTTCATAGTTAGAATTTGACGTTACAATAGCACGAACATATGTAACCCGTGAATAACAACCACTCGAGTTAGTGAGGACACATTGGCTGTTAAGATCTAAATCCTGAAAAGTACTTTAAAACCAGCATTTTTTCATTATTTATACAATAACAAACTATGTTTCAATCAAAACACTTCAATGAAAAGGAGGTCAATAGCTAAGTATAGCTAAACATTGTCCTGTCAAGTATTTGATACTTGAAAAATGCAATAAAAACTACGCATTCATGTAAATATTACTAATCCTTATATACATGACCTAACTAAAACTTATGTATTACATAATTAATACATAATACAACCCAATTTTAAGTAATAATCCATTATTTAATCAAATTTATTTAAAGTAATCAAATAAATGATAAATATAATCCATTGCGTGACTGTATTATCGTTTGATAAATTTGCATCTTGTTTTATAAAAATTTGCAGTCAAAATAATATTAATTTACACTGTCGCTAAACGCTATATCTAAAAGCTGGTATCATGATTGAGCTCATTTATTATCATACCAACTGATATAGTATATTTGATATATATTTATATATTATACATTTTTAAATGTTATAACTAACACATTATTTGATCGCGTGGCAACATTTTTTTTGTAATATACGACAATTTCGACGTTTCATTATTTTTTTTTATTTTAGTCTATATTTATTGAATTTCATAAAGATAGTGTTTTTTTTAATAATTAACATGATAATTGTAATCTACAAAAGATAAATATACATCGCCTTTATAACCGTCTACTGGAGGTTAACGGACTCACTCAGTAAATGCACAGTACAAAGTCTATACGTAAATGACAGTAAATACAGTTTACGTGTAAAATTAACTATAAAATTAATTAAATTATGTATTAAAGTAGTACTAATTTATTAAATTTCGAATGAAATAAATATAATAAAAAATTGAGGAAGCCATTGTGATGTTGAAATTGTCAAAATCAAGTTATAAATTTAAGTAAGATAGGCGAAATGTAAATATTTCTTTAAGCCAATTAAACCTAACGAATGATAACAAGGAACATAATAAAGTCACACCGATAAGAAATATAGAAATATCCGTCGACGTACAAGTTGCTCGTCCCGTTGCGACAGACTTTATACACGTTTGACTTCTGTTAAACACCACTCAAACTGATGAATTGATATTGGTTAGTTCAAGAGTTCAACAGTCAAGGACTATAATAAAAGTTAACAATAAACTGTGCGACAATACGATAAATAATAACAATAAAGTGATATAGTGGAAAAATGTGAAATTGTGCGGTGTATAAGTTCAAGACAATTTAGGATTTTAGAATTGATTGATGCATTTGCTATAATGACTACTAAAGTTCCACCAGATGGTGGATATGGATGGGTGGTAACATTTGCTTACGCCTTAAATAACGTAAGTACAGTTAACATTACTCCTCCTAAATTAAACTTTCTATCTTTTATCTCCATGACAACAATTACCACTGTACTTTTGATACTGTAACAAATTATATAACATTTAACTAAATGTATGTCAATACTAACTGTCGCCAGCGACTCCGTCCGCGCGGGATTAAAAAAACATAATTAGTAGCTTATGTGTTCTGCCAGAAAATGTTCTATATGTATGCCAAATTTCATCGAGATCCATTAAGCAGTTCTGGAGATACCTTCAAACAAACATACATCCATCCATGTTAACATTTACATTTATATTAGTAAGAGATCAGTCCATACATTTTGTATTAAGCGTTATTTTAGTATTAACTTTCTCAAATACTATTTAATTAAATGGCATATAATACAAAAAACAATCACGCCCAATATCATTAAACAATGAATTTTGTTAATTTAAATTTTACTTTAGCCATCTTATTATATGTATTTGAATTTACACTCATTTGTACGAGTACATAATTTATTTATGTACTCGTACAAATGAGTAATGAGATTGAATGTGGATGGCTACAAGGGTAGGGGAAGACCAAAAAAAGTATGGAATGACTGTGTGAAAGAGGATATGCGTAAGAAGAGGGTATGACGGCTGATAGAGATGTATGGAGGAGTAATACACACTGTGCCGACCCTCGATAGGGATAAGGGCAGGTTGATGACATAATTTATTTGTCTTAAAATGTAGTCGATCCTAAATACTCAAATTAGTTCGTTACTTAGTGCTGACAATACGAATACAGAAACGTTCTTGACGAGATTTCCTTCCTTTCATTATGAAAATCTAACGTTATCTTCAATTAGTTTGAGTTATCACAAATTATACCACGAATTTTACACGTGAATGAATCTTTGACCTAACAAACGAAAGTGTTCGTATTTTTTTTTTACTTAATGTTCTGTAATTTCAGGTAGTTGTGCTTCCCCTTATCGCTGGTTTTGGTCTAGTATTTCAAGAGGCTTTTGAGGAGACAGAAATATCAGCAGCTCAGGGAACATTAATTATTACCCTTAACCATGGCATTGGCATGTTGCTTTCGTTCTTCGGAGGTCCAGTGCTTCGGAGATGGGGTTACAGAAAAGTTGCTGTGTTTGGTGCATTGATGGTCTCTTCCGGACTTATTTTGACTTCTATGGCCAGCAACTTTTGGGTCTTCGTACTGTCGTATAGTATTATTAATTGTAAGTGAAATTAAATCCAAAATTCATAATATTACATTTTGTGTTTGTTATTTTCAACATTTTTCTTTTGTTTTGTTACAGCAATGGGAGTAGCCGCAGTCATGGCTGCTTTCACTCTAGCAATTAACTCATATTTCAAAGAGAAAAGAGGTAGAGCAATAGGTGTCGGCATGTCGATTACAGGCTTAGGTACAATCCTGATGCCTATGTTAATGAGCGCTCTAATGTATTCTTATGGTTGGAGATACGCGGTACTAATTTTGGGTGGTTTATGTCTCCATTCTTTTTCGGCTGCTCTCTTGTTGAGACCAGCAAAGTGGTATTTAAAAGAGCCTACAGTTTTAGAAGAAATGAAACCATTGAATAAAGAAAACAATGAAGAATTGATCAATGGTAGCGTTACAGCTTCATCTAAACTAACTGGTGAGTATTATTTTAATAAAAGAAACCAAAGAAAAAGTTCTAAAGTTAAATTTAATAACTCATATGTAAATTTCAGATTCTATATCTCTGGCAAAACATGAAGAACCAATAGAAAATGGCGTGCACTCAAAAAGTTTGTCAATGAGATCTTTAAAGAACACCAATAATATACAAACGAGGAACGCTGTTTCACATCCAGATATAAGTAAAAAACCACCAGATCCTCCGCTATCGGAGTCACGTTATAAATGGTGGGAATCTCAAGAGATTAATTTGGGAAGTTCTATTAACATATTCTACGAAGAAGATAATATTAAACAGCTTAAAGCAAAACAAAATGAGATTTACATCAATGAAGATGAAAAACCTAAAAGTATCTGGAATAGATTCATTGATTTCTTCGATTTAACTTTATTAAGTGATCCTATATTCGTCAACATCATGTTTGGTCTGTCAATGGCTGCGTGTGTGGAAATAAATTTTTCCTTACTATTACCAATAATCCTGAAGGACATGTTAAAATTTGAGACGGCTGATATAGCAAAACTTATGGCTGTTATAGGATTTTCAGATACATTGTTCCGCTTTGTGTCTCCCTTTATTGGTGAATGGTGTCACAAACCACCAAGAGTGATGTATTTAATTAGCTTAATTATGATAATCTTCATTCGTAGCCGTAAGTATGCAATTCTTTAACCCTTTCAATTTTTGAACAATATATTGGCACTGGTATTTTAATATTTGTACTGAGATTATCACTTCTAAATAAAGCCTTCAGCTTTACAGAGATGTTAAATATTTCCAGTGATGCTGGTTACTACGTCTTTCACGGGGATGTTATTCGTATCGTTGGCCATTGGAGTGACGAAAGGCGTTCGCACTGTATATATGAACATCGTTATCCCGAGCTACGTACCCTTGGAGCGACTGCCCTTCGCATCTGGCATACAGATGTTCTTCAACGGAATCGTGATTATTACCCTTGGATCATTACTAGGTAAAAAAGCCTTGTTATACTTATATTTACCAAAATGACGAAGCGACCGTTGTCATACACCTCCTATGTCTATTGTGTATGAAATGCCAATTAATCGACAGAAGAACGCGTAAAAAGAATAGAGTCTGTTCTTTAAATATATAAGATCTTACATTTGGGTGGATGGATGTTTGTTATAAGGTACATATCTCCGTAACGGCTCAACAGATCTTTATAAATTTAGGCATAGATGTAGAACGTAGTCTCGATGAACTCATACGTAACAATTTTTTTAATCCATGGGAAAGGTGTACGGGCGACAGCTATTTGTTTATAATTTAAAGTAACGTTGTAATCAGACGGTATTGTATCCATCTTTATAAAATTAATTTCCCTCATCATATATTTCCAGGTCGCATGCGAGAGGCTTCGGGCACATACAGGCTGCCTATAATAGTGTTAAACTTCGTTACATTTGTCACCGTCGCGATGTGGAGTATGGAATTCTTGTATTTTAGAATAAGAAAGAAAACTTCAGATGAAACTATTGCTGCTTAAATATTCTTTATGTTTACGAAATGTTGTATGTATTTTTGTCTGCGGTTCCTCTGGTATTGCTGATGTCCAAGGGCGTTGAACACCTCGTTCCCCCTACTCGTTTGCCCCCTTCTGTTATATTATAAAAAATATTTCCCAAATTTCTATGTAGATTTAAGATGTTTGTAAATAAAATTGTAATTTTAATTGTTTTAAGTATACATTTATTTACATATTATAATATTTATAATGAATATTTACATTTTATTAGTACTTTAGTAATTCATTGGTTAACAACGCTTTGGATACCAAAATGAAAACCTTGAAAATTTATTGTATTTTCAAATTAATAAAAGTTAAATACAATACAATCTTCCAATTCATCTGCATGTAAATACTAGGATCAAATAAAAGAGAACACGTTCATTTCGTGTTCTCCTTAATTTGTTCTATAACCGTGAGATTCTACTGCTGAAGGAATAATAAAAAAATCTTTGTTCCTCAGATACGAGGGATTATATTATGTATGATTTTATCAGCCGTGGAACCCCACTTTAGCGTTGTATTCTATAACTAGATACATTAATTGATTAATAATTATTTATAGTCTTTGTCATTTTCTACACATCACAAATGTCTTGCACTGTCAATTTCACACACACAATCCTAATTATTTGGTTTTGTTTGTGACTTTGAATGTCCCTGAATATAATAGTTCTTCAATTTCTTCATTTCTCACTGGAACCTGAAAAAATAGCAAATATTTAAGACAAATTAATTACTCTGATTAAATGTTCAGGAGTAAGGACTACTTTGATGTTGTGAATTCGAAGTTAAATAACACTTTATAGTTAGTAACTCCTATTAACTGCTATTTATATTTGTGATGCAAAGTTAAAATTATACTTAATATTTCTATCTTTATCATTAAATTTAGTTTAAAAATTACCACAGTCCCGTAACGAATTTTTGTGTAAGACGAAGATAGAGATAAGTTTCGAAGTAAGTGCTTGGATTATTTAAAGTGTGCTAGCTTGATCTAATAGAAACAAAAATAATGCATTAAATGTGTTAATATTATTTGATAAAAACCTTATTCGTGTTAATTGAACTGTCATCACGAGTCAGAACCTTCCGATGAGTGCGTGCTTTCGATAGCGTAAAGACTACGCAAATTGTTTACTGAAAGAAGATAGAAAGAGAGTTAGTTCACAGAAGTTTGAAGTAAAGTAGAGTTATGAGTTATATAGAAATTCTTACTGCTTTGATGCCAGCCTTTGGAAAAGCCGTAGGATGAATCTGATTTTATAGAATCCAAAGACATCGGACCGGAGCCAGTGAATCCAAAGGAAGGACGATTCGAGAATCTCGGTGACGTAAATGGAAAGTTGTCCAACGTGAATTCATCATAATTATTACTATTAATCTTCTTGGATTCAAACTTTTGTTCTGTTTCTGTTTCCTGAACGGTTGTAGTTTGAGTTTTATCACTCCAAGGTTTTGATGTCACTACATAAACTTTTTCTTTGGTTAGTGGCGATATTGATGTCTGTATCAAACCCCACGGCGCAGGTGTTGTTGTTGAACTGCGAAAAGATGACGCTGCAGTGTAAATGCGAGGTTTTTGATTTTCGTCTGGATCTTCCCCTTTTTCTATTAATTGTTTATTTTTAGTTCTCTCTATTATGTTATATTCTTTTATTGACTTTGATGAAGTATTATTTCTTGTTTCAGTGACAGAATGTTGGACGCTGCTCGAACCTTCGTGGTCATAATCCTCGAAATTATATTCGGTGGTTTTATGATCTTGAGGTGGATTTACTGTCGTGAAAAAATCATCAGGAATTTGTTTAGCGTGTTTTTCATTAGATCTAGTCCTATCAGGTGTTGAATAATGATTAGAATATTCTTGTTCAGTCCAGTCGTCAATAGTATGTTGTAATTTAATAATATCAAATGGTGGTTCTTTAACATCGTAGAAATCGTTCAAGACTGTCGGTGTCTGATTTATTTCTTCTGTCACCGCTGAAATGTGTTCTGTCGTTGTAGTTGGAAATGTGGACGTTTCTGTAGCAGTGTTAAAGTATGATATCTCTGTATTCGAAGGCACTTTTCTTCCCAGATGTTCTTCTTTTGTCACGAAAGGTTGAGCTTCTTGAGAAACGGAACGCATTTCTTTATTGTGACTTGTTTTACTTTGTTCAGTTACATAAGGTACAATTATTTGTACAATTTTCGGTTGACTTTCCCGACCGTCTGGTGCAGTTGATAGATCTTTTTGATTATTTTGCCGCGTATCATATTTAGATTCAGTTGTGGGCTGAATTGGCGCACGTGTTACAATCTCGTCATAAATTTCATAATCATTTAGGCCAATGTTTATTGATGATGATGTAGTAGGTGCTGTTACAAAATTTTCAAAATTCTTATGTGGTGCGCTCGGTTTTAAGTAAAGAAGCGGGGAATCAATATGTTGCAGGTTACTTTCTGTTCTATATCTGTCTTGGTCTTCGTCGTTTACTCCCCTTAAGTCTGCAAATACTTGTCTATGATTTAATGGAATGTGAGAATTCTGTCTCATATCTGTAGGTAAGTTACTTTCATAGAGATTGTTACCCGTTTCAAGGCCAGTTGTTTCAAAGCTAACATCTTGGTTTATCTTTGCTGATGAAATATGATCCTCTGAAGCTTGAGGGGTAATATCTCTGGGTTCATCTATTACGTAACTGTTCGGTATATTTCTGTAGGTTTTATTATGATTAGCACTTTTTGTAGCGTCTATATCTATGACAGGAGATTGAATAATTGTTGTTGGATATTCTATTGAATGTACAAATTCTGCAATAGGAACGCTTTGCGCTACATTAACATTATCGGATGTTTTCTTCATTTGATTTATTCCATATATTATGTCTGTTGGGAATGACGAGGTTATTGGTCGGAAAGGTCGTGCATTGAAAATAGGAGGCAAAGGAGAAACACTTAAATTTGGGAGAGCAACTGGTTGCAATGTATGAATATTCCTTCCTTTATTTAAGGTAAATGGAGCAGGATTGGCCAGTGCGATAGAAACATTAGTTTCAAAAGATTTGACAACTTGCGTATTAATTTTACTTGATGCAGCTTCCAACGAATTAAATGAGTAAGGTATATTCAGTGCATTAGTATTACTAATATCTTCACCATATGAATTTTTAAAACCTTTCGGATGCCCTACATTGGGTAACTGTATATGACTCGGAGGTGTCACAATATTTAAAATATCCAAATCATGTCCAACTGGTGACTGATTTATATTTCCTGGAATGTTATTTGAATGTACTGGAGAATGTGTTGTCACCTGTTGGCTGAAATCAAAGGCAATAGATGGTGTACCATAAACTTTTGGATTGTATGCAGAAGTTGTGAAACTGTACGTATTAGGTAGGTCGTGAGATGAACTTAATTGCCGAAATGAAGAACTTGGGGTTAACGTTTTGGGAACACCATATGAAGAGCTGGATGAGTGTATAGAACTTAAAGAATTTTGTGCTGATATTGATATTTGCTGAGTATCGCTTGGAGGTCCATAAGTTGAACTTGGAAATCCACTTAAATGAGATTTTTCAGGTACACCATAAGATATATGAGGTTTGTTTACTTGATTTGTCTTTTGTTCTTGACTTCTTTGGAAATTGAATGATTGGGGTCGATATTGTACTACGTTTTGGGCCACAGAAGTCGGAGTGGAAGGCCCGTACGTTGGACTGTTGCTCTCTTGAACGTTTCTATTTCCTAAGTTATATTTTATCACTGGAACCCATGGCACTAAATTGCAAGGATTGCAATCTTTTTTGAATGGTTCAAGATTAATTTTGGATCCATCGGAATTAGTTTGTTGAGAAGGGAAAAGCCATCCGGATATTTTCTGGAAAAAGGTTGGTGAAGGGGTGGTCGTAAAAGGTTGGGGTTGAGGAACAAAGTTAAAGTTGTATTGCTTGTAAAAAGGAGCGGGGAATTTGAACTCCGAAGAAGGGGGAATTGTTGAAATGGCAGGAGGGTAAGTAGTTTGATATTGGTATCTGAAGTCCTTAATTTGTTGCTGTGGTTTCCCTCCGTGAAAAGGTACCGGAGCTATTGATAATGGAGGTGGCGGCGGTCTTAAGAGATCTCCGAACTGTGATGGGCCATTTCCATTAGCATAGTTAAAGCCGGAAACGGGTTCACAATTATACCTCGCTAAGCCAGCAAGCAGCAATACTGGCAACATCTGAAATATAAAAAAATAGTTGTAGTTTCTAGTCTTATATAATATCTATACTAATATTATAAAGAGGAAAGATTAGATTGTTTGTATTGAATAGGCACCGAAACTACGGAACAGATTTAAATAATTCCTTGTTAGAAGCTAGCTTAGCTTAGAAACTTGCTAGTTAGCTACATTACTCTTGGGTTATATAGGCTAGCTATATTTATTACTAGATTTTTTACAATCTACGTGGAGACTTAAACAACTTTAAACATAACAAGTAGAATTTCGACAAAATAGTAAAAACGATTAAAAAACAATTAAGTGAATTGAGGAGTGTTAGTATTCATTTAGTAATTAGAAACGGTGAAACACTCGACGTGACATATCCAAGCTATTGTAGTATCTTCCCACGACTTGTTATTCTTTGCACTTTTCTCTTTTCTCATAACAAGCGCATTCGGCCGCAATCGGAAGCAGAACGATTTTGGTGCTATCGTTTACAATCTTAATGTTTAAGCATTAGCTTAAGTATATCCTTTTAGCTTAAAACTTTACATAGGAATAACGGATTAAGTTTTATTATAAATTAAATAATAAAATAAATAATTATTATATAATAACTTAATTTTTTTTATATTAAAATAGAAGTATATGAAATTATATTATATATATTATAATTAAGTAACTGTCTGTGTCATAAAAAAAAACAATTGAATAAATACTAAGCAGAGTATAAAGTATTTCGTGCTTGTTATAAGTAATACGAATAAAAGTAAATATTGCATAACATCATATTAAAATTCCTAAGGTAATTCGGTTACATGCTTGCATGCTGCTTGATGCAACAACTTGGCAGATGAAGAGAAATAACCATCTTTGTAAATAAAATCACGAAGCGAGTAACAATCGAATCAATTCGATGCTCGTATAAAGTTCAAGTTTCGAAATTGTAGTAATACGCGGCCACGCATAGCCAAGCTTTAGACGTGATGTTCAAGACGTGATGAAAAGTGAAAATCGATTTTGGTCAATCTGAACGTCGGTCACGTTTTATCGAAGGATAACATAAAATGCAAAACACTCATTGCGTAATTTTTTTAACTTTAAAAATGTTGCTCTAACAACTTAGTTAAACAATTAATAACTATTTCAAGTATCAATTTCCCCAAAAAACATATTTTAAATTGACTTATTTAATTTAAATACATACTACATTTGGTTTTTGAGACCAAAACCTGCGTATAAAGAATATTGTCATCCCTGTCATCTTTGACTAAACAGAGATAAAATATGTTTTAAACGGGGATTTTAATCTCAGAAATCCACGGTGAGTCAAATAAGAAAACGAAAGTAAAAACATAAGCCTCCAACGTCCATCAGTTACCTGCGTGTTATGACTTTAGCCAAACAATTAGACAGTAATGCAAATTAATTGCAAAATTATGTATGTTTACATACAGAGTAATTAATTTGCATAAGTATGCGTAAAACTGTTATGAAAATATTTCTTTCAAAATAATTGTTATAATTGTAAATAACTATTAATTTATTATCATGTAATTAAGATGAATAGAAGAAAATGTTTAGCGTACTGTGTTTAATAGTATTTTTTAAATTACTATTTATTTCATTTCTATAACATTTAGTTAGCCGTTTTCATTCTAAATTTGGGATAATTTTTCACGAAAATTTAAGTGTTTAATAACTTTATAAATATGCTTAAATATTTTCTAGTTATGGTGAAGTAGGGAGAGTAAAGTAATGTTGTGATTACTAGATTTAAACGATGGGCGCACGAGCTAAAGTCATCGCGAGTGAAAGTGCTTTAGAGAATTCAAGTAAAATATTCCAATGATAATGTTTCCTTACGTAAAATTTGCATGACAGACGTACATTGTTGAATAATTTCAAGAACATTGTTAATTAAATGCTGGATCTAACTTTATAAGAATACATATTTTTTTAAAATTCAAAAAGTTCTACTATGCAATTAATTAAATAAGTTCATCTTTGATCAACTTTTATTGTTGGATGTCAAGTCCCACTTCGCTGCGTCACCCTAGTTAGTTGACCAACGATAATCAAGATACAAACAAGATTTGTAATCAATACCATTTATTTTAAATTTAATAAAACCAAATAAAAATTAAGCATCACTACGCTACGCTCGTGGGATTGCAGTAACTATGTCTCTTAATACTACTAGTAGCAACATATTATAATATAAAATTAAAAGAAAGCAATCAGTATAAGCTTATCTAACTGAAATAAATCGATTTTGACCAGACATCGTCTAGACAACCCTTTAGTTATACGAGTACGTTACGAAGTTAATAGACTACAAAAGAACCATAACTCGACTCTACCGGCTACTTAAAGGGCAATGACTTCTAAAGACTTTAGTAAACAGATAGATCAGATATGAGTATGAGCATGCAAGGATATTAAGTTAACTTTATTATTATCAAATGGAACATTTTTCATTTCAGAGACTTATTATAATTTATTCTATTTTATTAATATCATAAATCCGATAGTTTAGATGGATGGATGTTTGTTTGAAGATATCTCCTGAAGGGCTTAACGGATTTTAATGAAATTTGACACACATGTAGAGCATATTCTGGAAGAACACATAGTCTACAATTTTTTTTTAATTTCGCGTGGATAGAGTCGCGGGTGACAGCTAGTAAATAATAATGATCGCCTCATTTTTTAGCAAGGAATATTGATAATTGGGTCTTCACGACACGAAATGTGGAAACAATAGTTAATATGGATATGACATTATAAAGTCACGGAGCAAAAAATAGAGTCATAACTCTTACTTTCGCGGAAACAATGCAAGCTGTCAACGCACAACTATTCACTAATCAGTCATTCACAACAAATCATTCATTCCGTTCACTAAAACAAATAATACACGTGACAGTTGCATGATAGACTATTTGTAAACGGAACTCATACTAGAATTAACAATGCTCGATGTATATAATGAACGACAAATGGGGTGAGAAATGGTGGAGAAAGCATCACTATGAGTCGTGACTCTGTACACAGACTGATCTACATCTTATATCGATTAATCTTCGACGATATAAAGATAAACTCTACGGAAACTATAATTAACTTGTTGTCTTTGTTTTGTCATAGAGAATGAAAGGGATAAAAATATATATTAATAAATAATACTGTATTGGAGTTTTCACAGGATTTTATTTCTAAAGGCAAAACTGACTGGCCATTGTACATTTATATGAAAAACATATGACATTTTCTTGAGTCTTGTAACACTTAGCAGAGCTATGTTCACGCTTAAAGAATAATTACAGCTATTAAAAGAATGAAATGAGGTAACAAAGTGTCGTAATATTTTTATCTGTCGTTTTATTCAATATGTTTTGTATTTTAGAGGAAAAAGTAGTGAACCCTTGATTATAACTATACATTGAATGAACTTTTCTTAATTATATTAAGAAGAAACAAAATGGATCCAGAATCAAAACATCTGAGTATTTTTTACAACTGAAATTTAGTGCCAAAGGGACATAACCTAACTTTATTGTCATAATGAAATATTATTTTTATTCAACAACTAAGAAGCTTTACGATTAAAAAATTTACTTATCATAAGTAGACGAGTACCAAGCGAAAGTATTAAATAGTTTGCATAGAAATAATTACATTCATCTATTGTGTATATTATATGAAATAACATTTTAATGAAAGTGAACGCGCCATTATGTGACTCTTTACGTTTCTTGGCGGGAAACCTTAGACCTGTTCGACTTTCAATAGCTTAAGGTCATAGTTCTTTACAATTGCGTCAAGTATCTTTTTAAAACATATTTTGCATGCTTGAAACATTTTTATCGAGAAATATAAAACAAATATTAAAACGGTAACATCGCTGTTAAGTTTATCGGTTAATAAAATTATATACGATATAAGTAAAAGTAGATTCGAGTTACAATGCAAGAAAACATAAAGATGAAGGAATTTCTATAAATTTATGTATCTTAACTAAAAACGTAATGCTTTAATTTCATTTTTTAATCTCACCGGAAGATACAAAGTTTATAATCTGTATGTTATCACTCTTATCTCAATTTAAATACGTTAGAGATCCAAAAAATGTCTGACATAAATGGACACAGAATGTAAGTAATGGTGGAACATTATAATGTCGTGTCTGAGAGTCATTCAACGATTATCATCATTGGGTGAAAGGTTCACGCAAATGATACATTTTTACTACCGTGAATTGCTAAACCTTTTTAAATCTCATGTCTATTAAAATTATAAACCGATGTGTATGCCAACATACTAAATTGTTTTAAATAATTAGACAGTTTTCAATGTGTTATATTAAAAAATAAATAAGAACAGATTTATACGATTGCGAAAATGTTACTGATAATTATTGCCCTTTTTTATTTAATTTATTTTCCGCCAAGTTTTAAAGAAAGAAAAGAATTCTCTACATATCATTAATGATTTACCTAAAAAAGTTAAAAAAACGAAATTAGATCAAGGTCTTTGAATCAATTTGCGTATAGTTCATGTTCGGAAGATATAAACAGCAAAGTCCGATTCATTTCACTGTCGCGGTCAACGAAAGTGGCTCCGTGTTAATTGCAGCCAGTTAGCCGGCTGACGGCCGTTACTTATATGGTTATAATTACGCTATGTTACAGTTATTGTTTACCTTCCTTGATTACATACAACATTGTACAAATAATAATACACGGTAAAAGTCTTAATAGGTATCTCAAAATATCATAATTAAAAATATTTTCTTAAGAAATAATTCATTCATATAACTTTGACGTATTCTAGTGACGAAATGATTTCTATATATTATTCCCAATCTATACATTATAAAACGTAAGAGTTTGTTCGTTTGTTTACACGCGCTAATCTCAGGAACTAATAGTCCGATTTGAAAAATTCTTTTTTTGTTGGATAATCTATTTATAGAGGAAGGCTTTAGGCTATATAACATTACACTATGACTAATAGTTTTTTTTAATCCGCGCGGACAGAGTCGCAGGCGACAGCTGGTTTTATATAAAGCCTGACTTTAAATATATTATGAGAAAAGAGAGTTCTCACGAAGTATACAGAGGTGTTAATATTTGCCGAAACATTACACTTATACTTTCAAACGCTCATATTATTTGTAAAGTCACGCATCATATTATAACAATTTCACCAATTACGTCTCTCGTGTGATATAAACAATATAATGTTATATTTTGTGAGATCACATTTTGTGGGATATAATGATATAGAATTAGCCTAGACGTAAACTGGTATGGCAGTTGAGAAAATACGCTTTCGCGAAGCTCCGATATAATTTTGTTCCCAGAAGAAAACAATTGTTCAAAACAATGACTTGTATAGTTCAAGAGCACTCTCTTGTGCGACTTTAACTGAATCTTGTGAAATACGATCTTTTTTATTGGTTGTAATCTGCTTTAAGGCCTCCTAAATAACTCTAACAAGAAAACTTCGCAGACTGACATCTAAATAGCGTATTTGATCCATACTTAGCAGATATTTTAGACGTGATTTAAAATTTAATTTGATATAAATATTTCCGATTAATGCACAATAATATGTGCATAATGTGAATTTTATAGAGGAATTTTATAAGGAGGAAAACGAGCAATGAATATTTTATAGCATAAGTAGGAAAGGAGCAGTGAAGGAACTTCAAGAAATTCAGGAAATCTTTAAGACAAGGAGCCTTTTTATAATCCTTAGTAATAGATTTGGAAATATCGCTGAATGACTGGGTCATTTAAAAAATAACAGCTATCACTTCTAAAGCTGAGAAAACATGTTAAAACTCTAGAATAACAAACAGTATAAGTTCAAAAAATACCATTTAAACAAATGTTTCACAAACACTGAAAATGTCTTAAGTGCGTATTAACCTTTAAAAAAACATACAGAAGAACTGAGCACCTCCTCGCTTTTGAAGTCGGTTAAAAAGTTTTTGTTAAAAGGAGTAAAACAAAAGCTTTTAAAGCCACGATTATATTGGAGCTTTACGTACGGAGCTAAAAGCTAATGATTACGTAAGTGCAACTAAAGCTCATCCAGAGTTAAAATGATAAGTTAAAGTGTAACAAAACTTTTGTTTACTTTTGTTACGCAATGCGTGATTATTTTTTAGCCGTAAGCTGTAATCTTGTTAGATGTTAGAGGAATGTTCACATAGTTTTTTAAATACCTTGTAGATGTATACGATCGCATAATACTTAGTTAAATTTATATTCTAAAATTGATCGATAATTAAAATCTGAATCAAATTCGTATAAATTTAACTTGTTTTAAATGTGTCTAACGCAACACAAAAAAATGGAAATAAATTAGTGTTATGAATTAAAAAAATACAACTACTTGTTTATCTAAAACAAAACATTATCTTAAATATGTAACAATTGTTAAAAACTTTTTGAAAATAACGATTCTTTACGTCAAAATTTTGTACGCATGCGTAAGTTTCATCTCAATGCAGTGAAGCAAGCTTTTATCAAAAGATAAACACATCCCAAGTTATACCAGTGAAAAAATAAGAAAAAACTCACCATAAAAGCCATTATATCCGATTATTTTATGAGAATAAGATTTCGATCACTAAATATATTTGATCATCACTAAACAGTCATCACCGGGAAACTTCAGTTCACCTTACATGCTTTAGCTTCATATCACAAGACGTGTGATAAGAAATTAAGGAGTCATTACGTGTTTTCGACACTGCGGTCGTTTGTGAACAGTGCGGTATAGCACAGGCGGTTCCCACGTGAGAGAAATGCACCGCAACAATAGTGGAGGCGCCCGAGTCGAAAGGTGGGCAAAAAGCGAATGAGCGCAAGCACCAAGCATTCCAACCAGGGTGAGAGGTTTATACCTGCTGACCCATTTCAACCGCAACTATTGACAATGCCATGAAGAATTTTGAGCCCCTATTTGAGATACATCTCGAAAAAGAATCCCCGCTTTGTCAATATTTATGAGCGATTAGATATGAGATTTAAATTTGGTCGTAGTAAACTCGTATCCATATTTTTTTATAACTTTTAAAGCTTAGATAACCAACTTATAAAGTTAAATTCCAGTTTTCCAGTAGGATTGTAATATAATTGATCTTTTGTTTAACAAATCAATGGCTTTGTTTTTTCTTCTCTTAGATAATCTTACGCCACTGTTATTAGACAGATTGGTGTAAAAAGTGTGAGACTTTGATTACAATACAGATTCGCATTGGGATTTCTATAGATAATTGCAAAGCATCAGAAATATATTGCCATGTCGGACTATATGTCCGACAAGCCATAATTCCATTCAACACCTCGCTGTGGCTTGTCGGACGCTTTTTAATCGAATTGTTGTATACAGCGTGACCTGCAAGGCCCCATTATAATGGTTCTGGATAAGATTAAAAAAAAATCGTTTTTCGAAAAATCATTCTGGCAGCTAACGTGTTAAAATAAAAAAAAATTAATATCTTAAAGAAGTATCTCCTGTCGTCTTATAGTTAGCCCTTATATTAGCTTATTTACTCTTCACTGTACAATTTAACTGTACAAGACCTAAAGGCATTAGATATGCTTTATAAACCTTTTAGTTAAGGTACCAACAAAAATAAGGTAAGTTTAAAAATCATGAGTTACAAAGATTTCAAAAAATTCTCACATAAAAACTAAGACGCTTAAGTCAGTGGGTGTCTGTCGTAACGGAAATTATACGTAAGCCACAATTTACTGTACAACCGAAACGTCCGAACGAAAAGTCCTCTTTTAATTGCTATGAATTTGAAACCAATTAAAATTTCAAATACACTAAAGAATACTGCGTTTTAGTTAAAGATAAAGCATCTGATATAGAGTTGAGTTCGTATCCAATTTATTATTTTTAATTAAGTGCGTAAGTAAGCAGTTTATGAAAATAATATTTTTTTAATTCCTACTAATTTAAGCTTTTATTATAAGGTTCACAAAAAATAGTCATGTTGAAGTTTGGTAACCACGATGTTTCACAGTACTTACCCTTTAGTTTCTTCTTCTTCTTCTAGTGCCTCTTCAGTCTTGAAGGATCGCCGCTAACTTGGAATATTTGGTTTTGTCAAGTTCCTTTAGTTTTACGCTTTTTAAAATTTTATTCTTTATTTTTTTCACTCTGCTATTCTTGTTAGTGACAATATAGGAAGTTACTTATCACTAAAACAGTATAAAAATACTTTCTAGAATTTAATTTGTACCCTTATGACATCCAGGTGAGTAACAAAGAGTTTGTATTCATTGCATGTTCGGTTATGCAGTGAAATTGTGGAATTTCGTGGCACAGTGTTGTGTTTACTAAACTGTCGGCTTTCGCGTATCGTCCTGATGCGATACACGTCTGTAGGGGAAACTTTTACTACTTTTGATACTTGCTTCACATCATTTAACTTTTTACTTTATCAAAGGTATTTTACATCTAACTTCTAATTGCGCAACCTAGAGTTTATCCGATTCAAATAAATGTAGAGTTCGGAACTCTCGTCTGTGAGTTTTATTTATAATCTGTATAAAATTATTTAATTACAGTATTAAAAATCATCTGGGGTCTACCTTGATCGCCCAACATAGGTTTATGTATTGGTTGAAGTCGTTTGAATTAATTTTGTTCTGTTGTATAAAACCTTACCGCATTGTTTTCCACAACGATGCCAATTTTACTTAATGCCTTTAAATTCCCTGACACAGATATAAAACAAACCTCGACCCATTTTAAATAAAGAACATAATATATTACAAGTAATGTTAAGAGAGCAATTTAAGTAACGCAACTTTTATCCTAAAGTATTATTAACAAAACCGAGCACGTCAATGAATTTTGTTGTTATTCTAATTGCATAATGTTGCAAAAATACGTACTCGTTCGAGAATATGCAGTCAGTACTCAGACGATCGAAAGTCGCGAAAACACGCACATCAGCGACAAACGCTAGTCATGCTAATTTCAAGACGTCCAAATGGTTTATTATATTCATGGCACGTCTTCTTTAACTTTTCATGTTTATTATTTATTCATTTAGTTACAAGTTTACAATCCTTAATCAATCGACACCCAAAATAACGAATCAAATGGCAACTAGTACATTATCAGTTAATCCGTTTAGGCCACATAAAGCCAAAAAGGTCATGAACTATTGTAAAAGGCATAAAACAAACCACATGTTCAGCCCAATTTGTAGTTATAATTTTCTACTTTCAAATAGAGTCCAATTCTATTTAGTTCACACGCGATCTGATCTTACGGTGCCACACAAACGCATCTATAGTACGAAATCGCTTCGACCATTTCTTTTATCGATGACCATTCAAAACCGGTCACGGTTTGTTTCATGACACAACAAATTTACATTCAGTTGCCACTGCCAAAACATATTGTTATCTCTATATTTTTTAAGGACATGAAAGGGATGTCGATATGTCATTTATATAATTCCATCGTTATGTTCTTGTCTACACGTATGCAACGATCACTAACTAATCAATGTATACGGGATTCTCGTCTTAACGCTGTTATGAAAAATACGGCATCTCATATGAACAAATACGAGTTATGTGTTTACCATTTGACTTCATACAAATATTATATGAAGCACTGAATATTAGTTTTAGGCAGACCCAATCGATTGCCTCAACGAAACGCAAGTGAAAGCAAATACGTTAAAGCTGAAGCATGTTTTATTTAAATATTCTTATGTCGGTGGAGTCGTGTTACGCATTGTAGTTAACGATTTCAATTATTATATTAAAAACAAGAGCGCTATTTATTAATCCAATCTTGATGTGTTATGAAATAATATATTCAGTATGATACTTCTATTTTACGTGATTGTGAGACATCTTATTTTTCTTGTCCACTGCGGCTTGGACATCTTTACTGCAGGTAAACTTTATTATTTTACTGACATTAGTCTTTTGGACCTAGAAATCTTACTGCAAAGATTTATCTAACGTAACTTTATATAGCCATTCCACAGTTTTCTTGTTTTGTTCACGGAAGCGGTAAGTATTTAAGCGGAGTTCATTCAGTATCGTTTAAAACAATAACATCATTGAGAATCGTCTCAGACACTTTCTGAGAATTAAAAACGGCCAAGTATCAAACTGTACCTTATTTCAATATGGTAATGCATATATTTATATAAATATAACATTGTAAGATGTGCATAATTGGAAGTGTTGCCAGATGAATTTGACCTTGATACTGTCATGAGAGTAACTCTCAACGTCTATTGTCTTGTTTCATTCACTTTTTACTACATGCGATAAAGTTTCTCGTGATTACCACGTATTTAGCTAACAACTCAGTATACGATAGTTTGTTAATTTTGCGAAGCTCACTACAAATATCCTAGTTAAGGGGGATATTAACCAAAACCAAACGGGCTACCCAAATCACCCCATAACTTAGAATAGGCTCCAAACCCCACAATGGGGACGTTTAGTAGGCTGATGATGAAATAAAGGACAAAGTTGTATGAAATATGTTTAGTAATTAACAACCATAATGGAAGTAGACCGAAAAGTTTTTGCTCAGTTACTTTTTAATTGACAATGACAATGACAGTTCAATAAATGTTGAATGAGAGAAAATAAAGGAGTTATAATGTAATGAATTTATTAAACAGGTATATATTATTCGTCCAATATATTGTGATAAGATTCGTTCCTCAAGCGATCAGTGTAAAGACATACGAAGTGAGACGCATCAATGAATCCGCGTATTTGGTAACAAGTTTTCCTGAATACGATTATGGAACTTCTAGAGGGATCGATTTAAATGCTGACGCCAAAGTTGTTTCTATGGATGATCAGAAAAAAGTGTTAAAAAGTGGCCACACTATTGGAGACGCCGCAAATGCGATTCCTTTAGATGAAAACGCACACAAACATAAACCGAAAATATCACCTTTCGCTATCAAAGATGCGAGAAAAAGTTATTTTAAGAATTTCTATGCAACTATGAGAAAAGTTCCTATTTCTACTGTTGCTCCATCCGCGTCACCCTCTTACTCAGGATTATTAGATGCAGATTTAAAAGATTACAAAGGAGCTATTGTGCCAGTGGATTCTAATCTAATAACAGCTCGAAAATTAGCGTCAATATTAGTCTATGAGCTTCAATATAACGATCAGGAGTACTTAAAAAATATGGAACGAATCAAAAAAAGAAGAAATCGTGAATAAATTATGTAAACTATTAGATTTTCTATTTTTACAGTATTTTATTGTATTATAATATATCTAAAAATATCAATTATGTTTTCATCTGCAACAATTATTGTGGATTTCTTATTATTTTCCTCGTCTGTAGATAAACTCTTTTTTTCTTTTCACTTTTATTAAACTAAAGATCTCTATAGTATTTTTGGTTGGTTTTCGATCAAACTGGTTTATCAGAATAAGATTATATTTTATTAAACTAATGAATATGTCCGCTTCTATAAGACCTTGTTTAAAAACAAACGAAACAAAAGCCTTTACAAGGTGAACGGTATCTAGTTTCCGTTGTGGTAACCTAGCCCCATGACTATCGGGTGATCCTTGGTTTTGAGGAAGCCTCTAAAAGTTATTGTTACTACATGATAACGATGTTCAATATGATGTGAATGTGTTCGATGTTCGATGTTCAAATGTGCAAAATATAGTACAAAATGAAAATATACTACAATATTAACGATGACAACGATAATTTGCTTGTAATTTTAATGTAACAATTTACTTCCTGTCACAATGATAAGTGAACATTCAACTAATATTGCCTTTAGAACAAAACGTGGTGAAGAGAAAAGGTAAATACAACGCGCAGTTTAAATACTCATGTGTTAAAATACATATTTAAATATAATGATAATTCATCATCATCTATATCCAAGAAACTTTTGTTTTGGCAATTAATTGCTACTTTTTAAGGAACTTCAAATTGGAGTCCCAGGGTTCTGTCTCTAAAATGATAATCTTTGTTATTTACATATTTTTATCGTATGTTATTTACGTTACTACTTATCGCAGTTTTATTACGTTTACCGTGGATCTAGTCATAGAGTTCATCCACCATTACTTTACGACAAACATATTTTGAGCTCTGAAAGTTTCCGTAAATAAATTCAATTGTGATTCGATTAATATTCTAAAAAGTAAAGTTATTACATGAAATGTTACCAAAATAAATAAGTACTTAATCTTTATTAATTTTCAATTCTATTGATAGTAGTTCTGTGCATCCTCTCCTGCGTCGATTTAAATTAGGCAACGCATACAATTGCGTAGTATGTCTATGGGCAACGGTCACTTCGCTATTTCAGTGATTTCAGGTGGCCGCTCGCTGTTTTGCCAACTTATGATATAAAAAAAGTACTTTTTAGTGCGTGGAAACAAAGTAATTATTGCAATAAATTATACACTGATTTCACCAGTAACTATCACATGATTTTACTTTCGTTGTCTGTGCTATACAAAGTTTGAACAGAATTGCTTTTATGACAGACAATTCTAGAAAATCCTTGTGACGACACACGTAAGATTATTGCTGTTTATGTACCTTTATTTACTGTTGTGAGACAAAACTTGATAATACTAATCCCACCTTACATATGGGTCCGTTTAGACCATTAGGTTAAGTGTTAACGTAGGTGAAGGAATATACTTTTTTTTAAATTGATTTTCCAATAAAGTGTTATAGTATAGAATTTAAATAAGATGAAATAAATACTTAATCATTTTCAAAAATTTTAATTAAAATGAATTATTTTGAAATGTTTATTTAACGGTTTAATATTAATACATAGCAATGTATATTATGTATCTCTCAAAAAGATAATTTTAATATATTAAACATACAATTGCACAGTTTCGTAATATGGACAATGCAATCAACCAAAATTTTCTTCCGGATTTTTCCGTTCAATTTTTGGAAAAAGTTCAGTGTAAACGGAACTTAAATAAAATTCATTAAGCCGTTGGGCAAGTGTAAGAAGTGGTGGTGCACACTGCTTTATCTGGATCAAAGACGGATATGCTAGGGCATGTGTACTCATATTGGCTGTATGATCCGTCATTTTGTAGAATACACATATAATAGGTCTGACATGTTGTATCAGCGGTGTTCGCAAATCTCCCGGCTGCCGTGCAAACCATGACAGTAGTCGCGTCGGTAGTCGTAACAGTTGTCGCCGCAGTAGTTGTTACAGTAGTTGGCGAGGCAGTTGTAACTGTAGTTGCAGCGTCAGTAGTTGTAACAGTTGTAGCGTCAGTAGTTGTAACAGTTGTAGCGTCAGTAGTTGTAACAGTTGTCGCGTCAGTAGTGGTAACAGTTGTGGCCGCGTCTGTGGTCGTTATAGTAGTTGCGGCGTCGGTCGTGGTAACAGTTGTAGCGTCAGTTGTGGTAGCGTCAGTCGTCGTAACAGTTGTAGAGTCAGTCGTGGTAGCGTCAGTCGTCGTAACAGTTGTAGAGTCAGTCGTGGTAACAGTTGTAACGTCAGTCGTGGTAGCGTCAGTCGGCGTAACAGTTGTAGCGTCAGTCGTCGTAACTGTTGTAGCGTCAGTCGTTGTCACAGTTGTAGTAGAATCAGTAGTGGTAACAGTTGTAGCATCAGTCGTCGTCACAGTTGTAGCATCCGTCGTGGTGGCGTCTGTCGTTGTAACGGTTGTAGCGTCAGTCGTCGTTACAGTTGTCGCTGCGTCAGTCGTAGTTGCAGCGTCAGTGGTCGTCACAGTAGTTGCCGCGTCAGTTGTGGTAGCAGTAGTTGCGTCAGTCGCGGTAACGGTCGTCGCATCAGTGGTCGTTACAGTAGTCGCCGCGTCGGTTGTTGTTGCCGCATCCGTAGTAGACGCTGCAGTAGTTGCCGCGGCAGTAGTTGCCGCGGCAGTAGTTGCCGCGGCAGTAGTTGCCGCGGCAGTAGTTGCCGCGGCAGTAGTTGCCGCGGCAGTAGTTGCCGCATCCGTAGTTGACGCTGCAGTAGTTGCCGCGTCAGTAGTAGCCGCAACAGTAGTTGCCGTGACAGTAGTCGCAGCATCTGTAGTCGTTATAGCAGTGGTTGTTGTGTCGGCGCCGTATACTTGCCATACTATAGACAGCACCTTGAAAAACAAAACAATGTGTCAAATCTGTCTTATTGTTAAATATTCTTGAAGAAATGCTAAATAATATTAGAATGGAAGCTTCATGTTTATTAGCAAAAGTTATATAAATTGCGGGGTCGAATGTCACTTATTTGCCTTACAATAGTTAAATTATATCTATCACTTTGACAAACTTTAATCACATAACAAAACTTTCTTTTGAAATTATCACCACTTACTAAAATTATGACGATGTTCGATCGACCGTACATTTTTAGTTTCTTTCTAAATCTCCATAAATGTTTATAAGAGCGAATCTTTTATAACGCAAGACAAGATAAAGGAGATTCACAACAATAAAAAATATAATCTTACATTTATTTGCTAGACTAATATGCATCATAGTGCAACCACATGTCTACGTGTTTATCTTATTCCCATAAACTCTGAGTTGATATACTAATCTCCTGATTATTTTATTTAATGGTGAAATTCCAAAGAATTTCCTTTAGTATTTTACTATCCGCAACTTTCTTTTAAAAGGTTACTGCTTACAAGCGTTGATTGACAGCAAGATATCTTTAATATTTTAGGCAACAGAGCTTCCAACGAAATTATTGTTTCTGACCTTAGTGAGGTACCGAACATGCTGCCGTGCCGTGATACTAAATGGTTTATACTAGTTTCTCCGTAGGACAGGCTTTAGATGCTTATCAAATTACGCTACCAGTGCTACCTGGGATGAAACGAATATAAGTACAATGAATTGTTAACCTCTCACCACAAGCATGGTAAAACATTATTGCAATATGCAGAGTCGAAGGAGTTGTACTTATTAATGTTTTAATTTTTTTATTAATAGTACACTATATAATTAAATGATATAAAAAAACTTATTTGTGTAGATACATGTTAGGAGGTACGAACATGTAATCTGAGTTTATACCAAATGTTTATTTACCAGTAATTACAACTTACAATTTTATTTCGTCAGAATGTGAAAAATGTAGTACAAGGAATATACTACGATCACAACAAACTGTCTCGTCACAGCGCAAGTAAAGCCTGAATCATGTGCAAACAACCAACCCTTATCTTAAGTTAATATAGTGATGTTAAAAACATATCGATAATTTGAATCTACTTTTAAAATAAAAATATTTATGTAAGAAACACTGGCTAGTTTGAATTTATTCATTTGATGGGTTTTAGTGCCTTTTATAAATAGTATAACCCTTAACGAAAACGAATTTGAAGATAGGAGTTCAACAGCTCAGTACAAAAGGAAGTGAACTTAACTTCACATACAGGTATCAGCATGATTACGTTATGTCGATAAGTTACCACTACGTTCGATCACAACACTAAAGTTAACGTCCGCCTTTTATAGGACTTCAGAGTTCTGATACAGCTGTACTGCTGTACAAAATGCATAGTAAAAATTAATTGTTTTCGGAGGCAGTGGGACATAAATATTAAAGGTGCCGTATTAAAACCTAATCAAGACATGATCTATAAATGTTTTCTTATTTATCTCGGGGTAAGTTTGATTTGATGCATCTACTGAATTTATCTTAGACCAGCTAAGAATAAGATCGGCAAGATCTGTTAAGCCGTTTTAGAGATAGAGACTTCTAACAAATATCCAAACTTTCGCATTTATAATATTACTAAGATTTAAATACATTATTGAGCTATGTTTATCGTTATGTACTTGGCTCCTTATTCTTGGCGGTAGCCCAATTAATAAGAAACTGGTAATTAAATTTAAAAAAATCTTAGTAAATTTATTTCTAGTATGCAATTCATAAAAAAACATTGTCAACACTAACATAATGAAAAAGCCATTGGTACGTTTTTCAAGAATCTGTTTAATCGTTGTACAATTTAGTTTTGCGACACATTTTATTTAAAAAAAAACAATAAATTAGGAAAGATTATTTTACATGCTTTAAAATATCTAAAAAATACAATAACGAGAATTTTATTAACGAACTAAACTGGTCATTTAAAGTAGTCAGATTTTAGCCGAAAGCATACATAAATGAATACAATTCGCTACACAAACTTCGTAATACACCGCAATACTTTAATTTTATTTGACGACGTTTTTTTCATGCGTATATTAAACAAGGCCGTAATCTCCTGGAAATTCTTATAACAACATTATTAAGCCTACCAACTACGGAAAAAGTATTGTAATGTGTAAGAAAGATAAGGAAATTGTAACATACTAAAAAGTAGCTTTATAATTTAATTTCGTTCCAATAATCTATAAATCAATGACGTCATATCCCTTTAGAAAATCAAATGAAAAATAGTTTTATACAAACAAAAGTACTATTTCATGTCTTTAATTTCTACATATTTCATTACAATTGCAGATACTCTGGCAAAGTGTGAATGGCGCCGACCAATGTGTAACTCGCGGAAGGTTTCCTAATCGAATAGAAAATTGCCGAGGCTACACCATGTGTATTAATGGCCCCGCCGGTTTCATAGAATACAACCTCACCTGTCCAGAATCCTTCATTTACAGCCATTTAGAAAACCTCTGTACAAACGTGACTAGTTACAAATGTATGCCTGAATTCAAATGCACGGAAGCAGGAAATTTTGAAGTCGATTCTGAAAATTGTACGTCATTCGCAGCTTGTGTTGAAGGTCTAAGCGGTTTAGTGGATGCAAGATGGTCGGAATGCCCCCAAGGAACAGTATTTAGTCCAACCGAAAAGAGTTGCATAAATGAAACGTTATATGGTTGTCATAAAATCGAAGATTCACCCAATATTCTTTCTATTCTAATTAATAATGGACCAATATTTACTGCTAATTTTACTTTAAATGATGCTCCTACATTAAGTTATCATTATACTACTGTGTATGGGTTTTCGTTACTTCTGTTATTATATACAATAAAGCGTTAAGACATTTATCGTTTTTATATTAAACCTGATCCTATAGTTCATTTGTGTTGAATGGTTCAATAATAATCGTGTGCTACTTTTGTTAATTCACAATACAATAATACGTTTGTTGATGTTTGTTATTATTTGATGATTTGAGTTTTTTCCTTTTCATGCACTGTTGATATTAAAGTCACCGACTACCAGCATTGTAGCTACTCTGTGCCATCAAGAATTCCGTCGCCCGTCAAAGTTAATTGTCAATGTCATTTTCATAATTGTGTGTAAGTCGGTTTAATACATTTTTAAGTTAAAATAATATCTGCATTAGTTTTACTTGGACTTAATTGAAGAGAATAAGTAATTCTTAACAGAAATACCAATTAATTTTCGATGTACTCTCAAATAGTTCTACCGAGGTAATACGTAGTTTTAGGTTATGTTTTGCTTTATTTTGAGTCAACTATTCTGTGTTTATGAAAGTTATTAATCTTAAATACCTGCTTTTCCAGACAATGGTCCAGATTAGTACATATTTGCCGAACTATGGCGACCCTAGAAGGTCAAAAAGTTCCTCAGAGCAGTTCTGCGAGTGATGGCATTTCACCGCCACAAAGGATCCACAGAGGACCGACAGACATCCTCCAAGCACTTGCTGCCACAGTCGGACCTGATCCAACTGCAGCACATTACAAGTAAAGTTGGTCAATCTCTACATTGAGCACATCTGACATTGTCTTTTAAATTTTAGTTTTCTTAACAGCATTGGTTAGTTATATTTAATTTTAAAAATATGTATGAAATGTATCAGACTTTTTTGTTTATATATTTCAGATATCATGATGACCCATATTTAATTCCTCTCTCCAACTTCCGAAAGAGGTCATATGCACTATCAGCAGAAGCAGGTAGAAAAGCTGCAGCTTGGGTTAGAGATGAACATGCCGATCTATTCTCGATGAGAGAGTGGGACCCACCGGGCAAGAAGAAAACTCCCTACTTAAATGCTGATCCCCACATTGATGCTTTTGCTCCTAAACCAATATACAATGATGAAAGTAAGGTAATAACATGAATTTTTATTGTAAAAGTATATTTCATACACCACATAATTGATTAAGTCAATAAATTTACCAACAATTTGAACTTACAGTAGCATTAAAAAGAAATAATGGTTACAGACCACTTGTTAGATTAAAGTGCTTATAAATCTGAAACAATACAGAACTAATTCTAAGCTCCTACAATATTAAAATTGCATTTACCTCGTTGATAAACAATAGCCATAAAAGTATTAAAAAAAATTACAACAGGTGACCGAGGAAGACTTTAAATACACATTAAACAATGCACTAGTTGAAGATGCAATAAAAGTTTTTGAACTACTTGGTGGAGTAAATGCTCTGAGTGAGGAATTGAAAATGGAATTTCTACAATTGCTTTGTTTCTACAATGAAAAAGAACCATTAGCAATGGAATGGTTGGAAGAGAGATGGTTTGCTGCCAAGACAAGGGACAGACATTCTGCTACATGGAGGTAAGTTTTTATTTATTGATTTTAATTATTTACTGTTGATAAAATGGAGATAACAATCATCTCCTTGGCCTTATCCCAGTTATGTGGGTCTGGCGCACAAAGTTTTAAAAACCTTAAAGATTTGGCATTTTTATGGCCGGCCAACCCTACATGGGAGGAATATATAAAAATTGATAAACACAAAATGGAGAATACCATATTAAACTGTAATTTGGGTCGACAACTTAAATTTTAAAATAGTCTGTTTATTTGCTGAGTACAGGTTATGTTAATTGTTGAGTGAATTTATTAAGTTTATGTAAACATCATTATAATTTTGATGGCTTCTATAACTAATGTTACATAAAAACTGCACTATTGTTTTAAAGCCATTATCTTATCATATAACTCATCAATTTTTTGTTTCATATATTTCCAGGTTGGGTGGTCTAGCTGATAGTATTTTTACATCTATGGAACCAAAAACCTCGGAGGCTTACTGTGCTATAATTCAAGGAATGGCAAAATATTATCAAGTAAATATTTTACTTTCTTTATACTTTATTATTTAGTTTTAGACACTATTAGTTAGAATTATTTGACGCTAATGGCGCGCTTTCACCAAGTCAAGTGTCAGAATGATTAGTGAGGGGACATAAACATTGAAATTTTTATAAGGCTATTATTGCGCCGATACACCCGCACAGTATAGGATTTTCTTGCTAACATTAGTAACATTGGATTATTTTCATTTTTATTTAAATTTATTAACATTTCAGGCAGAAAGGGCACATTTATTAGCTCAGGAAGCAATGGAAAAGGGCATTCCACTGTCAACCAGTGTCTTTAATTCTCTCATAAGTTGTGTTGGATTCCTAAAAGAAGGGACTACATTAAGAATTGAAGCATTGAAAACACTTTTAGCACAAATGAAGGAACAGGTGAGAGAAATTAATTTAAAGATGTGCAGTTGAGTTATTATGTTTATTTTATTATGACCAACTCCTGTCAATTCCTGTTGGGCCATTCCGGAAAATATTTGGTATAAACACGGCCTTGCGTACAGGAAGGACAGACAGAAAAAAAATTGCTTTGTTGTTATGAGCTATGCAAATACATGTGTACCAAATATAATTTATTTGTTTGTTATTACATACAGACATTCTAGTTTTATTAATATGTTTAGAGTACTATTTTGATTAAATATTGTCTTAAAAGTGTTATAATGTCTTTGACTGGATTTTCATCTAACAGGGTTTATCACCAGACCAAGGAACACTTAGTTCTTGTCTGAAGTCAATATCAGCTTGGGGTGGTGGCAATATGCTACAGCAGGTAGCTTTGCAAGTTGTCGCAGAATTCAAAAGCATCGGCCTCCAGCCAGGACTCTCGGCTTATTATTATTTACTATGCTTGTTTTGCAAAGAACGTGAGTATTTCTGATTATTTGTTGACATGTTTCATACTAATAAGAATTATTCCGTTTGAAGTGAAATTTTGATTTGGTGGCATTGTATGTGAAAAATTCTATTTAATATAGTGATTAATTATTCTATTGCCCGATTTAAAATTAATAAATAGTAAAATATAGATTAGAAATTTCGAGACATTAACCATTGGTTTCTCAGACCAAGTTCCCTATATAAAACATATTGATAAACAAAGATAACTATATGTTTTAAACGGGGATTTTGATCTCACACAATTATAATAGTCAATTAAAATTTAAGAGTAAATCATTAAATTTACTTTTTTTTATATCTAACTATCAAATAGAGGATGTTTAATATAAATAAGGTCTATAACCTTTCGACAATTTTTATTTTAAATTTTACAATATTGTAAATTACAGGTGGCCCTAGAGTTGATATTTTGACAACAATTCTTAATGATTTGGAGAAAAGAGAAAATTTGCTGCCACAGGACGCGACAGATACAAACTTCTTTATTACAGCAATGGGAGTGTGTAGTGATCATTTGCAGGTAAATGATTAAAATATTACTGTTTGCTATCTAACAAAAAACCCTCAAATGATTACCCCTGTGACACTCGGGGGGAGAATACGAATCGAATGACACCACAGTCACCAAAATCGGTTCGGTATTGTAAGCTACAAGTTACAATGGAATTTCCATACACTTTTGAGTCAGGTGAAATTGAAGTATATAATAAACTAATTGTCGCTCGCGATTCCGCCTGCGTATAATTAAAAAAAATAGTTTTGTTTCATGTCTAATTTCCTGCGAGATCCATGCAAAAGTTTTAGACATACCATGTAACAAACACCCATCCATCCATCTAAACATTCGCATTTATAATATTAAGTTATTAATTATTTTAATTGTAATGTAACTAGGACATCAGTTTGGCGGAGAGGCTGCACAAGCTGCTGATGAAAGGCGACAACTACAGGCTGGTGGGCGACGCATACAAGGAGAGCATTTACTACAGGCACTACATCACTGTCTCTTGCCGGTAAATTTATAACAACAAATATAATATTCTGATGTATATCTTTGAACATCTTTACTCTGTGGCCTTGTAAGATTGTAAAAAAATGATTTTTAATTAATTTGAATAATTGTACAATGATCTTTTATGACTTACTTGACTTGACTTATAGTCCTATGTCCCCGCAGTGGGGCAGAGGGCGTCCACAGTGCGCCGTCAGTTCGCTCTATCCTGGGCTCTGCGCTTGGTCTAGGGCCATGTCAGCCCAATCGCCTTCATATCTTTAAATTCATTTAACTTCATAATATTTAAAATTATTTCTGACGATCCCTCACTGTACACAACGGTTTTTTTTTATTTATTGATATTTTTGTATTTTTTTTTCTTTTTGTAGGCATGCTCCGTTCGAAAAGACTCTAGAACTCCTCGATACGCTAATCCCGAATGTATATGTTCCGGAACCATCTGTCATGGAAGAGGTAATTTTAAAACATTTTTGTTGATATTTTAGAGTTTTAATTATTATTTGTCTTTATATCTAAACATATACTACGACATATAGGCAACACTGTTTCTACCATAGAACTAATTGAAAAAAATATATACATTGAACTAGCTTTTGCCCACTCCTTGTTCTGCGGGAAATTAAAAACTATTAACTTATACCTTCTTTCAGATTATGTTCTACGTCTATGCCAAATTTCACCAAGATCTGTTAAGCTGTTCTGGAGATACGTAGTAACAAACATCTATCCATCTAAACTTTCTTAATTATAAAGATACAGCGCCATCTAGCAATGCAAAAAAAAATCATGAATGATTTCATGAATGTCATTATTTGACCGTTTACATTTTTATGATTTGTTTTGATTTTTGTATTATTTATTATATATATGTATATATGTGTGTAGATAATAAAGCGTCTGGAGGCTGGCGGCGCGGGCGAGCGGCTGGCGCAGGCCTGGTCTCAGCTCGTGGTGTTCGGACATGCCAACCGCGTACGACTCGTCGAGAGGCTGCTTGACGCTTTCTGCAACTGCTACCAATACCAAGGTCTCCTCATCATCATCATCATCATCACTATCATTATTATCATTATGGTAGTCATCATCTATCAACATAGCTAAAGAACGTATATTTTCTGTTGTGACTACTATTTCAGTAATCGTTTTTTTCTTTGGCCTAACCCTAATATACATTTATAACTATAGTCTAACAATATTATTTGGCCCGGTGATAGGATTTTATGTTAATTAAGAAATACTTTTGTTACAGATGATGAAATAAAAACGAAGATACGTTTAGCCGCCGGCGATATCCTCAAATTTGGTCAAATGGCTGAGGAGAAGGAGGAAAAGAACGAAATGAGATCACCAGTACAAAAGTACGCATTTATTTTGAAATATTGATTTAAATAACTACATTTCAAGAAAAAAAAACAATTAAAACGAGAAATTTCTTTAAACTGCAATGAGTTGTTAATTAGCACACTAAGGAAAGTCTCCAGTATTAAATCTTCATTGAGGGAGACACCCTGAATGTGGCAGAAACTAAATTGACACTGTAGTCTCTGTCTACACATTTGAGGTACTAGCGTGAATTGTATTGTTTATTTTGATTATTATATTTGTAGGTTATCAGCAACGGCAATGACTAACATAATAGAGTTGTGCTCCGATGTGACGGACAAAGCGGACGAGGGCTGGGAGAAAGTTTCGCAGGCGCTGGACCGGCTGCGCAGCCAGCAGGCGGCTGGCGTGCCAGCTCGCCCGCAAGTACTTGCGCAAGTCGCACAGAGAGCTGCCACTGTCGGCAGACCGACTATAGCCGCGGTTAGTATCAGATTGACTCGCTCAATGAGTTATTGGGCTGAAAATGATTAAATCGGCAATAGCAGATGTAAAGATTATAAAAATACTAATATTGTATTATAAACTTTTTGATCTTAAACGTACTGGCTGATAAGAAAATAAGTGAATTCGTTATTCCTTTTTTCTTCTTTAAATACACCTATGTTTTTAATGACCCAAAAATCTTTAATATGCACTTATTCAAATGCAGTTTACGTTTTTTGTACTTATATTATTTGCAGTTTATGTATATTTAAATTTATGAAAATACCTTTTGATAATGCGATAAATATATTTTTGTATGTATTCAGGCGGCGGTTGGTTACCTATCGGAGTGCGGGTTTGAGGAAGCGACATCTGCCAGCGTGGCGACTCTGAGCGTGATGCTGAACAGGTCGGAGGAGGAGGTGAAGACGCTGCTGCAGGACAGGAGCAACCTGAGCGCCCTACACCCCACTGCGCTGGCCGTCGCTGAGGCTTATCATGAGTAACTACAACTCGCTATACTTACTGTTGGTTCCTGAGACCAAAATCTTTACACCGTCATCCCTGTCATCATCGGAGATTTTTGTCTCAGAAACCCATGGTGATAAATATAATCAAACAAAAGAGCTTAATAATTATATAATTATCAACCTTTTCATTTTTTTTTTTCAAAATTCGATATCACAGAAATCCATCAGATAAAAAATGAGGCAACTAATAATTATAAAGAAAATTTAAACTTCCTGATAATAAATATAGTTACAATTTATAATTAAAAAAATATTTTACAAAAATTTGATACAGGCACATAATTTAATTCAGTACAGTACACAGATTATATTGTAATTTGCTTTTTTTTAACAGAGTGAAATCAGGCGCGTCTCTACACCAATCAGATTCCTCTACGAGTTCGGAGAGTGACAGCGAATCGTCCGATGATGATTGTTAGTATACCTCCTAATTATTGTATTGTATATGTAGAATTAAATATTATTAGATATATTAATGAACTTTTATTTGTGTCCTGTTTACTTTTCGATTACATTAAAATATGTTTGAATTGTAATATTTCTGACTGATGAAATAAAGAATATTTAAACGTTGGTATAATGTACACCATGTTGAGTTTTGACCATAATAAATATTCCTTTTCTCGATTAAATCATATTCTTAACAAATAGACAAACAACTTTTTATTGGTCTAAAGTAAAATTATAATTCATCTTAGACTCCAACTAGGAGCACACGTGGCCTTCAATTGTACGAAATCAAATTTACGAATATTATTCCTAAATTAAATAATTCAAATGCAATATTATGTATAATATTAGTTTTCATATTACAATAATTAATACGGTTTCTTAACTGAATTTTCGAAAAATCCATTATTAAACAATATACAAGTTTCTCCTTATTTGTAATGCGTACTATGATAAAGATTTGCTTGTTTAAAGATAAACTGGAATTATACATCTCAACTGACAGACAGCTTTAACATAATCCTTGGTGGATACTAAGGTGACCTGAATCATAAAGGTCTAAAGAATAACAAAAAACTGCCTGTGTGATTCAACAATATAAATAAACAAGAATTTTATTTAACATAAACATAAAAAACATGACTATATTGATTATTACGAAGAAAATAAAGTTTATTGAAAATTTGTTTTGTAATGGAAATCCTAGACTAGACAAAACAAAATATTTATTCAATATCGAGATAACAAATGAGTGTAGAGATTATTTGATCCGAAGAGCAGATTAAGTATTTGCTAATTCTGCAAACATACACGACTCAATTGAGAGTCGAAACCCAATAGTACCCAATGCTGCACACTGACTTTTAGGTTAACTATTAATAAATAATAACAGTAAATTAGTAATTGAAAAAAAAGCATTTCTTACAATATTTCCAAATCTTATTTCTTACTAATATTATAAATGCGAATGGATGGATGGATGTTTGTTATTTGGTATAGATGTAGAAGATAGTCTGGAAGAACATATAGGGTACTAATTATGTTTTTTTTAATTCGGCGCGTACTGAGTCACGGGCGACCGCTGGTAATTGATTACAAAAAAACGAAAATAAAAAACACTTCGGAACTAAAAAATGAATTTAAATTCTATTATTTGACAGTTATTATTTTTAACCGCTAGCATGTGTAACATTCATAAAAGGCAAAGGTGTGACACGTTGTGCCAGTGACACAGATTTATTTCTCATGTCGGAGAGGTGTTAAAAACGATAATTGCCCGCGAAATGGCGACTTTAGAAGAAAGCATGTTATTTCGTTAGTCACCTTTCGCCCGTCCAGTGAGTAACCTTGGCTTTGTGAAGAGGATTTTTTATTGAGGATCAGACTTCTTAAAATGTTTGGTTACTTCAAAATTTGGTTTATCGTGGTAAGTTAAGATTTTTTAATAAATTTAAATAAAATAAATTAACAATTAATTATTTTCAAAAAAATGTAAGCTTTACATTATTTTTTGTAAAATTTTATAACAATAAGGACAAATTTCTTGGAGCAGTCAATTTTTAGTTATTCAATCTTTTATATTAATACTAAAAAATATTAATAGAAAATAATTTGCAATTTTTATGTTTCGTTAAAGTTAATTTCAATTTAATTAAAAAACTTCAGGTTGCTGTTGCGCCACCTGATTTATTGGCAGCGTATATAACAAAAAACTTTGACTGTGGCCCGTACGGCTTCGTCTGTGAAGGAACAACTAAACTAAGGCTCTGCGAAGGAGACAATCTTTTAGGACCTGCCTTCAGATGTCCGGCAAACACTGTTTGCAACGAGGACTCCAGTGACGTTTGCGAAAATACCATAAATAACATAGATCCATCGATAACTAGGACCGTTAGATGTCATCGAAACGAAAGAATCGCCGATCCAACAGTCGCAGGTTGCAAAGGATATATACTATGTATACCTAACAAGAACAGATTCCAAGGTATCAAGTTCAAATGTTCAGGAAACACAATATTCAACGGTTACACACGAACTTGTTCATCGCCAGACAAATATAAATGTCCCTTGTCAAATATAACAAAAACAACTTCAACATTTTACCAACAAGATAATCGTAGAATAGATACTATCTCGGATAATATAAATTACGGTAACTCAGACATGAGTTCCCACTGGCATAGACCAATTGATTGCAAGAATTACAAGTTTGCTGTCACTCAAGATCAAAGCCCAGTCCGTGCGACATATTTCTGCCCATCTCGCGCTGCCGGTGGTGAATCCGCAATCAGATGCACAATATTTTCAAATCAATTCTGCATTACACTAGAAAGAGACGTCAAGGATTCTTTCATCCAAGCAGCAGGTGTTGCTTATCGTAAACCTAGGACAAATGTTCCTTGAAGATAATAAAAAGCATTAATTTTTAATTAATTTATTAACCGCTATAAGACTGATGGTGCCTTTTGTGGCAGTGGAAAGATCTACATTTAATTACAACAAATACTTAAGTGTAATACAAATAAATAATAAGAAATTACAGACTTTTATTTTTAAACACTACAAAAGAGCATTCATCTCCAACTTTTTGGTATCTTATAAATATGTTATTATATAAAACAAATAGCGTTAACTTTATTTACATTCGTAACTATCTTCGTCAACACATTTCTTTTTGTCATCGTCGAAAACTTCATCGGAATCACACTTCTTTCTCTTACGACGTAGTACAGACTTTGATGTTTTCGAGCACACATAATATTTTCTACAATTATTAGGATCTACAAACTTGCCTTCTTCGTTACATTTGAAACCAGTATCATTGGATAATTTTTTGTTGGACTTTTTATTGCTTTTATTCTTCTTTCTATCACTGGATGATGATGAAGAAGACGAGTTTGAAGACGACGATGACAGTTTCATATCCTTTTTACCCTGTTTACACGTCACGTTAACTTTATCAAGAATATAACCACTTTTACATTGCAACTTTAGTCTTAAGAATCTGTGGTTGGGGCCCTTAACACATAAATAATACATATTATCTTGCCATACATCAATAAATCTACCATCTTTAACACATTTAAATTGGTTATTTCGAATACAATGTGATAAATTATTAGTACATTGCTTTTTAAATTCACTGAAAACTGTATTCTCTGGACAGAAACCAACAATAGGTGTACTATAGCCAATACAAATGTAGAATTTCCTACAATTGTCTTTATCTGCATATCTTCCCCGAGAATGGTTTCTACAATCGAAGGTGAGTGAAGATTTTGGCGTTTCTTTATATGTCTTCGAAGTAGCTGTACGTGATTGTTCACTATTTTGTAAAATTAATGATGATTTAGTTGTTGTTTGAATATTTTTGATGGGCATTTCATTTATTTTTACAATTTTATATTCCTTGCTTTTTTCCTTCACGACTGGGACTATTGTTATGTTGATATGTGTATTATTTTGAATTTGCCTTTTAAGTTCATGGTTATTAGAAGTCAAATGATGAATACCTTGTGATCGTTTTGAAGGCTCTGTTGAATCTTTATTCCTATGCATTACATTGGTTTTCACTAAATCCGAAGTTTTTAATGGGAGTCCATCTTTAAAACTTTTAGTATTAACAACGTCTGTGGTGTTAACATTTTTGAATTCAACAATAGTTCGATTAAGATATGTTGGGATAAAAGGTGTAGTTTTAGTTTGAGTTTCTATTTTATTTTTAGTCCTAGGTAAAATGTTAATTATAGTAGTATTTAGTGCATGGTCATTATCGTCTTTTCTCATTTCTTTTGTATTAGAATCAGTTTTATTTCTTATACTCACGTTTATTCTAGTTTTATTATATAATTCTATGGATACCTGTCCATTTGCTTGACTTATACAAATACTTCTATTGGAACATTTTTGTATGATAGATCCATTTTTACTTTCTTTTAGTAAAGTTAAATTTTTGATGTTATGTTGCGATTGTTCGGTAACTTTGTCATCTCTCATTTGTTCGGGTACTTTTTCAATGTTGTCAATACTTTTGGTTGTGACTTTGTTCAATTTTAAATGTAAATTTCCTGGATTTATGGGTGTATCATAACCTTTATTAAAATTACTCTTTGAATTCAAATTTTCCTGCTCATATTTATTAACTATGCTATTATTTATATTAGCCGTAGCAATGTTCATAACTGATTTATTTGTTTGCAATATTTTATTTAAACCGTGGTCAACGATTGCTTTACTTGTATTAACATTTGCATTTATCATTGAATAATTCGTTTTGTTTAATACCGTCAAAGTAGAGTTTTTGGGTATTAACAATTTAGTTGCATTGAGGAATTTACGTGATGAAATCGTTGTGAAATTATTATTTACTTGTTGAGAGTCTCCTGCGGTGACTTTTTCTTTTATATTTTCCAAATTTAAAGTTGTATGTTTCTCATTTTTATTGGTAGAGTTGGAACTTTGTAAGGTAGAATTTAGGTCTTCATGTAATGAATTTACAAAGGCATCATATATTGTATTTTGATACTTCCTTTTATTGGATATTTTTTCATTATAAGCTTGATTTTGGGACGTTTTTAGAGCCGAAGTATCATTATTGATTAACGATGTAGAAGTTATTTGAAGATTTTCGCTTTCAGTGGTTAAATGAACATTTTCCGTTGTCATTGTTTTATGAGGTATATTTAAAGTGGATTTAGAATTATTTGGAAGATTATGTTTAGTAGCATGCAATTGTTTGGTATTGCTTGCTACTTTACTCTCTAAATCATCATTTGCTTTATCGACGATGTATGAGTTTGTGGTTAATACAGGTTTCTTTAACGTGGGTTTAGTGACGATCTTGGAGTTATTAGAAGCAAATTCATTTACATTTTCTTTTCTATTATCTTCTATAAGAAGCTGTTCTGGTCTATTCTGCCTATTCTTAATCATCATTGGAACTTTGTTGTTATTCGTTAAAACAGTAGGGCTTTCAGTAAAATCAGTTGCCTGCCGTTCATTGTTAATCGGGATAGAAATTGGTGCCTTTTGATTATTCTTTATCATATCGACAAAGGTATCATTCAAGATGCTTTTATTGCCGATAGATGTAGGTGTGTGTAGAGTGCGTTCAGTGGTGTTTTCTGTATTATGTAGGTTACTATTATTTTCGTGGACTATGTTTTTCTCCGTAACAGCCTGATTTTCTGCTACCTTATCAAGTATAGCAGAAGAATTTAGTATTGGAGCTTCAGTTAAATATCCATTTGTAAAGATTTTTTCTGTTTGGTCATTATCCATGTTAGAGTTAGAAATTGAATCTGTATGTATAATATTCTTTACTGGATCGACAGACGTAAAATGGGATGTATTCAAAACAGATTCCGTTGTGGTTTTTGCAGAAGACAATACGTTTTTATTGTTCACTATTTCTCCATTATTACGCGTCTCACTTTGAAGTAAATCACCGGTATTATTCGGTAACGCATCAATTGTTTCATTTTGATCGTAACTTGTAATGCCTTCAGTATTTGTTAAATAGTTAGATGTTTGCAATGAATATTTAGTTGAGTTTAATACATTCAATGTTTTATTTAGAAGTTCACTATCTGGTCGCTTGATTATCATATTATTTTTCCGTACATCATTCATAATAGATGTAGCGATGTCTGTACTTGGTACACTCTCAATGTTTTTATCATTTAGATTGTTATTATATCGTACAGTGATATTTTCTGTTAATACGGTTGATATAGGTAATTTATTTATTACTCCCTTTTCACTTACTGCATACGTAGCGTTGTCTTTAGTTTGATTAGATTTTGTAAGTCCTTTCTCTGCAGTAGGCACTGCAGTTACATTTAACATATTATTACTTAGGTTAATTTCCGGACTACTTTTTTCCTCTGCTTTTTTATTTTTTTCATCAATTTCCTTATAAAATATAAAAGTATCTAAACCATTTTTTGTATTTGCATTAAATAAAATAGCGGGCGTATTTTCTGTTATATTATCAAGTAAAGTAAAAGAATTTAATATTGGCTCTTCAGTAATATACGTCTTTTCTGGGATATCTTTTGTTTGATCTTTACTGTTGTCAGGATTTGAAACTTTCGCTTCTGTATTTATAACATTATTTAATAAATCGACAGATTTATTAGGTAAATTCAAAATAGGTTTAGTTATGTCTTCAATTGACTCTACACTATTATTTTTAAAGATTTCACCATTATTACTAGGTGTCAATTCTTCTGTCATATTATTTTCTAGCAATATCCTTTTAAGTAAATCTATTGTATTGTTTTTTATCGATTCGATTGTTTTATTTTCACTTATAGCGGAATTTAATGTGGTATTCTCAGTGTTTGTAAAATAGTAGGAAGTTTCCGATGGGGATTGAGTAGAGTTTATTAGTTTATTTATTGTGCTATTTAAAAGTTCGCTTTCGATTCGTTTAATTGTTTCGGTATGGTTTCGTATATCATCTGATGTCCGTATAGATGTAGTGGTAGTACTCAAAATTTCTACTTCTGGTACTTTATCTTGAAGTCTCTTTTCGTCTGCTGATAAATACTTAGCATTTTTCATAGTTTTATTTGAATTGGTATATTCTTTAACTTCAATATCCTCTGTAGTTATATTTAAACCATGATTAGTTAAGTTATTTATTGGACTAATAATTTTATCTGCATCTGGAATTTTCTTAATAATTTCCTTGTGTATCTTAGCAGGATCTAAATTATTTTTCGTATTTGGGATGAATACAGTAGAGTTTACCTTAGTATTTGTTCTGTTTAATAAAAAGTCTTTGTTTGAATTATCGTTGGCAACAATAACTGTTTCATTATTAACAAAATTATCTTGGGGATCTACTACATTAGTAACAGAAATATTATGATTTTTTGTCTCAATCGTATCAAATATATCATTGGGTTTAATATTTTTTTCACTAGAATTTGATATTATGTCATAATTTAAAGAATTGTTGTGCGAAGTGGACCTGAAATTTCTTAAACTTTCCCGATTTTCAGATAATTCGCTCAAATCTGAAATAGGACGATCTGTAAAAGAGATATGCAAAGGTGATTTCAATTCTATAAAATCCTTGTTACCCTTTATTAAATCACCAAAACTGATATCGAAGTCCGGAGATTCATTCGGAATAATGGGATTTGAAATATCATTTTGAATATATGCTTGCGGTGTTGTACTCAATTCCGTTACTAAAGTTTCAACTGTGCTTGCAGGAAATAAGAGTACACTGTAATCTGTATCCTCAAATAATGTATTCTTAATGTCTCCTAAATCGTTACTTCTCAACGTCGTTTGGTAACTATCTGTTTGTTGCAATGTTATTATATTTTCTGTAGTAAATTCTGTTATTGTTTCTACATTTGTATTTAATGTACTATTTAGAGTTTTCATAACTAACATTGTTTTATCTGTAGTTATTTCAGTATTAAGATCTGTACTGACGTTGGTATTTAATTTGTCAGTTATAGTATCGAGGCTAACGTTTGTATTTTTATTTAAAGTATGGAAATTCTTGTCCGACAGTATGCTATCAGGGTTTATAGTAGAATCTGAAACAGCTTTTTCTGTGAAAATAACCTGCTTAGATGATTTTATATCGGTAGACTCTTTGTCAACTTTCAATATATCGCCGAAAGTGATATCAAATTCGGAGGATTCCGAAGGAATAATGGGATTCGGCATTATACCATTTTGAATATATGTTGGGGTAGTCGTACTCACATGTGCTGTTACATTTTTAAGCTTTGGAGTAGGATGAACGAGATCTTCAAAAAATATTGTATTCTCATTATTTAATTTGTCGTTACTCAAAGTTGCTGTTTTTAATGAGTTGCCTGCGGAATTGAAGTCTAAAGAGTCTGGAAGAACAATACCCCTTGAAAACATATCGTTTGGAGCGTAAATTTCTGTTCGCGTGTTTAAGTTCGATGTTACAATTTTAACCGGTGTTGTAGTTGTAGAAATTGTTTTATTTAGATTCGTCGAAAAGTTGAAAAGAACATCAGTTGAGAATGTTGTATTTTGAGCAGACATTATCGATGGCGTACTCAACTTTGATATTATAGTTTTCGGTGCTGCCGAAGTTGTTTCAATTTGTTGGCCAGATGAGTTTGATGGAGTTATATATTTTGTGAATTTACCATTTTGAGCAGTTTTACTCGAGTTCGAAGTTACACTTTCATTCGCTGTTGTAGAAATTGCCTTAAATTCATGCGCAGAAGCATTTAAAGGAATATTATTTGAGATTGTAGCATTTTGAGCATATTTTTCCGATACCGTCTTTGGTGTTGTGGAAATTTTATCAACGAAAAGTTGACTAGAGTTTGAGAGAATAACATCTTTTGATGATGTATCAATTTCATCATATCCTTCTGTTGGAATATTTAAGTTCGATGTTACTCTTTTCTCCGGTGTTGTAGAAATGGTTTCAATTTGTTGCACCGATGAAATAGAAGGTATATCATTTGAGTGTGTAATATAACTTTCCGTTGGTATATTTAAATCTAATGTTACATCCACCCATTCAGTTGATGATACTGTTGTCCTCTGTATTGCTATTGTACCCTCATTGGTTTTTAACATGTTGTTTTTCGAATGCGTTTTGTTGCTGTTTTGTTGTAGCATTTCTTTCGCTTTGTCTTTAATTGTTTCATTATTATGGGAAATATTAAGAGATATACTGTTAACTGCAGCTGAAAGGGTTGAATTAGATTGTAATGCATTAAAAGGAGATCTTTCAATTATTTTTGAACTTAATTCATCGTCAACTAGTTTATTCACAGTGATATTTGTTTTTAAATCTACATTTTTATTATTTTTGATGATATTTTTGGTGTTATTTTTCGGTCTTGAAGTATTATGAGCCATATTGGAGTGATTGCTTCCAATATCTGGAACAGAAATTGATGGTGTCACTGAAATTTCAACGTTCGTAGTGGCGGTTACATATTCTAGGGTAGAGGATTCTTCAGTGGTAACACTATCGCTGGTTAATTCACTGAACGTTGTCATAACTGTATTTGTGGTATCTGTAGTCTGTACAGTATTAGTGCTTAATTCATTACGCGCCCCTTCAAACTTTGGTGTTGGTTCTTTATTTCTTCTTGTAAATTTCTTATTCATGTTATTTTTTGTTACTTTTTCATTTATTGGAGTACTATTTACCACTTCACTGTCAATATTTCCATACACAAGTACAGCATTGTCTGTATCATCGAATATCACATTTGCATTTCCTGGGATTATATACTTTTGTTGTGTTGGTAAAACATTATTTGCCTCAACTTGCTGCGAGTCACTTGTAAAAAGAAATTCGTCGTAAATGTTTGTCGTTAACCTTGCCTCGGTTGTCTCTGTAGTTATATCAGTACCTTGAGAAATAGTGTTTGGTGTAATCGATGTCGATGTTCGATATTCACATTCGAATGCATTATTTTCATCGCAAAATGTTGTAGGTGGGCATGACAAGACAATATTCCCCACTGTCATAGACACACCCCCACCGACGTCTACACAAATTGTAAAATGTGTCGAATTCTCGCAAAGAAATGACTTACCAGAGCAATCGATAAACGGTTGTGTTCTTGTAATCAGTGGAAGGTAAAATATCTGAAATGGAAACAAAGGTACGATACTTTAAATTCAGTTAAATAAAAAAAAAATCTATAGAAAACGGAAACAAAACTTATAGCTCATATCTAGTATTCAGCTGTCGCCCGCGACGCGCTTCGCGTGCGCGAATTGAAAATAAAAACTTTATTAGTATGTGTTCTTCCAGACTATGTTCTACATATATGCCAAATTTCACCGAGATCCGCTGAGCCGTTCCGGCGATACCTTAACATAAAGATCCATCCATCCCTTTAAACATTCACCTTTATAGTATCAGTATGATTGCTATCACTTTTCATTGATAAAGCTATAATCTAAATATAACAAGGGTCAAAGGCAAGAAAAGTAAAAAATAAATGCTGAGTAAATCCAAACACCTTAAAATTAAATTTATTTTCCATACATACCGTTATTAAAAATAAAAATAAATCCATGTTCTTTCTTCTAAACAAAACCGAATCCACATTTCTAACTTGAATGTTTCTATTTAAAGCACTTTATTGACTTATTTAGTTAGAGGTGTCCTTTATCTGCTTTAGATTTCAGTACACTGGCATGTTTTCACTCATCTCAGATAATTTGAATGGCCGCGTAGGAAAGTTGTTAGTATAATATTTCATTTACATAACGCACTGTCACACATAGATTACTGCGACCGGGTAAATATTGTTGACATCCCGATTTACACGGTCTCATTTATTTTTCTTATAAGTAGAAGCAAACTTGATTATTTTATTAAAAACATAGATGAATCAATGGTATGTTTATTAGTAAATACGAGACGAGATACATATTGTTCCCGTAGACTTCCCATGCAGTCAGCGTATGTTTAGCGTCGAGAGAACTGTTAGCAAGCATTGACATTGCTCAATAACTATGAAGGCCTAATTTCAGTCCCCTTTTCCTTCCAAAAAGGGGAAGTGGATTTGACGGAGGGGGCATAAGGGATCTGTATTTTTTCCGTGCCCTCGTCCGTCTATTAAAGGCAGACAACGCATATGCAATTGCAGATGTCTATGTGCAGCCATCGCTTCGCAATATCGGCGTATTCAGTTGGCCACTTGCTCGTTTGCTTCCTTATAATATAAAAATGGACGAACTAATCAGTTATCTGTTAACCTAACAATACTGTTTAGAGTTATGTACAAATTTACACTGATGGCTAGTTCGGTACCTATACGTAATCTGAAACGTACAATATTTTTTTTTTGCTAATTTACATTAACAAAATGTCGCTTTTTAATTCTACGTATTTCTTTATCAGCCAGTATCACAGAATAACATCTCTGTTTATCTTGCAACTTCCTGTGCTATGTTGACATAATTATTTGAGTCAGCTATTAAATAGTGCAATTATTATATTAGTACGTAATTATGGATTTTACCACAATATTGAAGACAGGCGTGAAGTGGAAGCTATTCCGCGTTTCGTCTGATGAGTGTGCGTCCCGGAGGCCAATATTAGTCCTCTTTCGCTTCCCAACCTTTTCCTTATAAGGAAAGAATGGGAAGTGGAAGTGGACTTTCCGGATGAGAGGATGTGTGGAAAGGGAAAATATTTTCTTTCTGTGCATCCTCTCCTCCGTCGATTAAAGGTAGGCAACGCATATGCAATTACGTGTGTCTATGGGCAACGGTCACTTCGGTATTTCAGCGATTTCAGGCCGCTCGCTCGTTTGCCACCATTTGATATAAAAAAAATATTATTTAATGCTATGAATCAACCAACTACACAGTTTCTTTGTTAGAATATTGTACTATTATATTGGCTCCGATCTTTTACTCTAATCTCACAAATATGCAGATATTGGGTAAAGAAAAACGATATTTAGGTTTTTAAAACGTTTTATTTTATTTATATTATAAATTTTATTGATATCACTTTATTTCTGTTACAAAAATATCACATCAATAGAGCCGTTATTTTTGACTATGAATTAATAAAATTATATTTATGAAATTATACAGCAGTAAAATAAATAATAATCATGAGTTCTACTCACTATTTACTTCTTTATAAGAAAACATAATCATTTGATTAATTATATAAAAATATTTTTCAGGCACATGTCATAAACAAACAAATTAACAATTTGTAAATATTTTTATTGTCGTATTCAAAATAAACAACGCCAGTTTGGTCTTAAATATTTAAGCTTAGTATCGTAAAGAGCTATAATAGCCAAGACTAGCCATAAAAACGTAACAGCACTTAAAACAATGCCTATTATAAACATGGAGTTTTGATAGCCATGCTCCTGACCTACAATAAATGACAAACAAACTACGAATATGGTTAATAATGTCGCGGAAAATGTTTCAAGCGTGCTATGAAACTTAGGCCATTTTCTTGCGCCTACGAAATCTTGGACCGCTGTTTCGCAGCATGAGGTGACAGCTCCATAACCCAATCCAGATATTACACAGCCAATGGCGAACGAATCGTGATTGTTGGTTTGTGCAAACACTGAAAAAATAAAACTTTATTAAAATAACTCAGTCAAGATACAAAACATCGTTTCTATTTTAAGAACTATTTTAAAACATAGTAAGAAACGTAGTTTTGATGATTGAAATTTCTACTAATAAATTGGGGACTAAAATACCTTTACAGTTAATAAAGCAAACTGCGGTAAAGTTTTTTTTAGAAACTTTGATGATATCTCGCTAGTAGAAAATAAACAAAACAGTATTACTAAACCCTAGCGTTTAATAACATCGTTTTCATCATCTAGTAATTGTTAGTATTTTCTCATGTCAATGATGCATCATATGAAAGGTTCGCAAATACAAGAGTCAGAAAAAAAACAACTTTATCAACATATTAAAGCAATAATTTTTCAAACATTACAAATGTCACCACTTCCTAGGTTTAACACGTATACTTTTTATGTATTGCGTAATTTCATACTACTACAGCAATTAAAAACAAATGTTAAGTCAGTAGAATTATTTCAAAACTTACCAAAACATGCAATAGTCGATGTAATTAATCCAAACACAGCGACGTACTTAAAATTTCTTTTCGGCGTTTGCGCCAACCACGGTGTGCTCAACAGAAAACATATCCATGTGAACCCGTGCAAGGACAAGAGAAAGTTCGTCTCAAACATAGATATTTTTGGTCGAACCTGCTGCGCTATCATCGGTATTAAATTTAAAAAAACAGCAGTTAAACACAGCTTTGCAAAACTAAGCAATAACGCTGGATAAAATCTCCAACATGACAGTGATCTCGTCAAAGGTTTTATAAACGTATCATTTATGTTATACATGAAATATAATAATCTGCGTTTAACTCTGTACATTCTATACGATGGAATCCAGAACCTTCTCTTTATATTTGTAACCGTAGACTGATATCTAAAGGATAACGAATTTAACACTTTTTCTCTATGAATCTCCGTCATTGGAGATATATTGTCATAAGTAACTTCAATTTCAGAATGTTCTCTATTGTTAAAGTTGCTACAATCTTCTTTTGAGTCTTTTCTAATTTGTTTCGTAATATATTCATCTAAATTGTCACCTAGTGTGCTCAGTCTTTTGATTGCAAGGCTAAATCGTCGCTGATTGTTTGACGATTCTTTGACATTCGTAGCTTGTTCGATGTCGTCTTCACTCTCCTCGCTCTCCTCCGGTATATCTGGCAATATGTCTACGCCGAAAATGTTTCTTCTCTTCTCCTCGGGGCTGGGCGGTGGTGTTATCGTTCCAACTACTTCATCGTCCGCAACCGCCTCGTCTTCTCTGTATAAATTATCATCAGATGGACTCTTCCAACATTTTTTACTTAAATCGATCAATTGCAATTCTGCAGTATAGTAGTTATCAGCACCATCATTTTGAAACCCTTTATAATTCTTATAAAAGTCTGAATATTTGGCGGATACACCGATTCTTCTGACGCTTTCGTCGATTTTAAGAAAAAGAACAGCCGGCAGCGCTTGCAATATTATTCCACCAAGAACGATGAATGAAAAAGAGTATCCGTAGTAATTTATTAGAACTGATATAATGTGGGGAAACAGTGATTGTCCGACCGCTTGTCCCGTGCTGCATATGCCTCGTATTATTGCGAGGCGGCTGTCGTAAGTTTCGAATATCACTGCGTCAACTTGGGCGGATATTAATGACGATCCAAGACCTAAAAATATAATACCGTTGTAATAAAAACTGTTCGGTAAAAATAACAAATAATCAAAAAGTTGTATGCTTACCGCCAAAAACACCGTATATAAATGGCTGTAAATACAAGGGTACAAACGCGCAGGTGAGCAGGCTAGCCACTGTTACCACGATGCCAACTGCGGCCATCGCACGGTAACCAGTCGACCCGCCCCACGAGTCGGCCGCCTCGCGAAACCAACATTCTGAAACATGTCAATTAAAATTAACTTTAGTATTTCAAACAATGATTTTAACATTTTTAATACCTTCCATTCCACTTCGATTTGATCAAAACACAAAAATTTTATAAATTCCTGTATAAACTTCACTTACGAGTTAGTCCGAAGGTGAGCAGATAGATGGTAGGTGTGGAGAGGCCGAGCCATACTGGTACATCAAGACTGGTCAGGTGCAGCCACAGAACGCCATATGCTAGCACCAAGCTTGGCAGGCATATCTATGTAAGCCAGAAAAGTGAATTTCAATAAGTTATATCATCTTTGGTCCTTCGTTGAGTGACATCATCTTTGTTCCTTCGTTGGGTGACAAGAGCAAAACAAGGTGACAATTGCCCGAACTAAAGAAGATGACTGTTTAAATTTGCTTCGGACAACAAGAGCCTATGAAAAATAATAACCAGCAAAATGTTTGTGCAGTAGTGTGTAGACAGTGTCCCACATGCGATAAGCTACAGCGCTACAACTATGGTCAGTTTACTTTTTCATGTTTTGCAAATCGATAAAGCTATCTAATCATATTCAGGTAGGTTTTTTTTAATGCTAACCTCAAGTAAAGGTTAGTAACCATCATGGCAATTTGTTGTTGTACCATTGATTTCTGTATAATTATTTTTGTATTTCTTGTAACATAGTTACGTTTGTTCTCAGATAACCTCTCAATCAGATAACCAAAACGATTATAATAAATATAAATTCCCGTTTGACATTGATTTTGTGTGATATTATTTTATGATGATTAATGTAATCGTAATAAACTACAACTATGTTATATTAATCTTTTCGCAATAATACCAACAACAAAGATTTCAAGATATCGTATCTTTGGCAAACTATTTTCAAAGTTATGTTATTACGCAGTCTTATATTATATTATCTCTATAAGAAGAATGAAATCAGAGCCGGGATTAAGGGATTGGGCGACCGCCCAGGGCGATGGATTGAAAAGAGTGCCACAGGTTTACTGTTAACCCCAGGCATGATAAAAAGAGAGCTATATAAAAACCTCACCCAGGACCCATTAAAGCTAACACCGTTACTGAATTGCCTATTTAACTATACTGAATATTTGGCATATCAGCGTCACGAGTGTTTTGTCAGAGATAGTGACTGCTAATTTGCACAAACATACGTAGTTGTAATTACATATTTATGTTTCATTCGTAACCGAAAGCAAGTTGCGGGACAAACATTTCTATTATCTATCATCTGTGCATATTGACATGTTTATAGAGATAATAAGGACATCACGGCCGCAAAGATAAGAACGAAATGTATGCGCAATGCACACTTCATGCAACATGAAACACATGACAATCTAACAAATAGTGTGGTGTTGTGTGTCTGACTTTTTAATGAAACCTTTTCTCTAAACTCGTCTTATAGTCAAAAAATACTGATTAACTCTCCCTTATTTACCCTTTTTCTTTGTTAATTGTTCTCTATACTGCCAGTAACATATTTCAACTTCTTCTTGTTATTTAAAATAGCGAATATTATACATACATTCAAAAACACTACAGAAAACAGTAGACTCCATCGCCAACTTGCGCCACTAGATCGTGCATCAACTTCCATTTATAGTTCTTTCTTCAAGCATTTTTCATAAATAATCCGATACTCCAAGTTCTAGTAATCATTTGAACACAGTTGCACTATTTAATCCAACATTGTAAAAGTAAAAAATATAGATTTATTGATTCAAATCAATGTAGAATTATAAAAGAGAGCATGTCGACTTATTGACGGGACTCTATCCATACATTGACAGTGTTATCGGGAAACGTCGTCACAATGTACTTTGTCTTATCTTATCGTCAATATGTAAGAAACTAATATGAGATCAATTATTATTTTTGTGTTATTTTATTTCAAAGTAACAAACAAAGCTTGTCTTCTTGAGAAAACCTGCTACATGGTATCTCTACAAAGCGCTCAAACGAGGCATCATTACGAGGCTATATTTTGGGACCTTTTATTGACTTAAATAAAATCGTATTTAGAGCGGCAAATTTTATTGCGAAAGGCTAAAAAATCACAATTTTGCTCCTTTGGAAAGTCCTGCCCTCACGTTGCGGCATCTTCACCGACATCTACATGTCGGTTAAGAAATAATATAACTATCACTCATCAGTCTTCTCTGTGGCTTTGACTAAAGAGTTGCATTAGGAAAAAAAATCTTTCCCTTTTTGTTCCCTCTTCATCCGAGTTTACCGGCAGTGCGATGATAGAGATCTTATTAATACAACGAAGAATGTATTGATTTCGAAGTACAAAATCATACAAAATTAGAAACAACATCACATTTTGTCCAATGGCAAGATAATCCATAACAGAAATAGGATCTACCCTCCCCTTACTAAATACATCGATAGTATCGCCACAAGATAAACTTTGATTATTATATGAATATACTGTTATACCTCTTCGAAAAGAAACGTTGACCTTCCCTTTCAATTCAATCATTTGTATATTGAAACAAAAAAAATGTTGGAGTTTTACTAACTTCACGAACGAACTAGTTTTCGTTGAAAAGCTGGCAACCCAATTTGTATTGACTTTGACATGTTTTTGACATTCATTTGTTGTGACGCAAAGAAATGTTTTTATTTAAATTTTAAGATTAATATTTATATATATTTTAATAGCATTATAGAATTCTTCCTCTAATTATTCAGAACCGTTTGAGAATGAATGAAAGCTTTAAAAATTATTCTAAATCAGTTCAAGAACTAAAAAAGGAATGTGCCGAGCATGGCATCAATGAAGAGGAATTTAAAAAACTTTATTTCGAGACTTTAGGATCGATAAATAAGAAAGAGATACAAAATACGACCCGCAGTAAATTGTATTCTAAGAAAAGAAAATTACTTTTAATTCTCGTATTACTTATAGTTACTGCTTGTTCTTTTAAATATATTTATAACAACATCTTATGCAACCTACAAGAATTTATTTATCCTGGATTGAGGCTAATTAGAAAAATATCTATTCCTTTTATTTCACTTTTTCCCGCATTAACCGGTTTGTATTATTATTAATACATATCCATTATTTAATGGACATTATAAAAGGCATATTTTTAAAATTAAAGCAAATTAAATAATTGCTCAAATTAACTTTCAGAATTATACCAAGAGCCATGTTTGATACAGAACCCTTTCTTCACGGTAGTAGACATGGATTGCTGGCCTTGCAGCACAGTTGGTAATGTTCACAAAGTGTTCGACCCTCAACCTGTACATCAACAGAATACAGCACCCTTTGTTTACCAGGTAGATTTTACACATTTTAGTAGTAACATGCCAGTAATTTTTCTTTTACTTTTAAACCTAACGATTTCCTAATATTTACTAATTTTATATTATGGGTAAAAAATGATTTATGATATGGTTCAGATAAGGCTTAATAGGCAAAGCACACAAATTAAATTCAGAAAAAGGCTATTTGTCATTGATATTTGTAAAGATAAGCACTAAGACATTGTCTGAAACAAACAGAATATATAATAATTTGTCCACATACAAATTAAATTCAGTTTAAGTTTATTACCATCTTGTTTTGAAATATACTGCACTAAGCACTGAACTACCACATTAACCGCAACTTTGTTTATATTTCAGAGCAATCAACCAGAAGTAGATATGAATGTATTGAGAGAATTATATTTAAGAAATAAGGACACATTTGATAAAGAATCATCTAAAATGTTGATGAACAACAACTTTTATTTATCACCGTCACAAGTTTTGTTACAAAAGACAGAAGATAAAAACTTATATATATGGTACATTTTTTTCAAACATAAGTCGCATCAGAACACCAAAAATATCAACAAACTGTAATAATACTTTAAGCAGTAACTTTTACAGACAAAATTTGCTTTAATATTGTCTTATATTCTTTCTTAAACCATTTCAATTTCTTATTGATTTACTCTTCTATAACAATACTATCTGTCGTCTGCGACTCCATCCGCGTGGAATGAAAAAAATAATTAGTAGAGCCTATGTATTCTTCTAGACAATGTTTATGCCAAATTTCAGCCAAATCCAAGCAAGCCATTCTGGAGATACTTTTATGTTTTACACAAACATCTTTCTGTCCATTCTAACTTTCGCATTTATTATTATTATTTTATTTCAGGAAAATAAATAACATAAATATAGCAAGAATCTTAAGACAAATAATACCAAGAGCAAAGGTAGTACCAAAGTTTGGACAAAGCACTGAAAGATATATTATTATTGATTCAAGCCATGACACATTTAGGATACCGGACACAGAGTGTAACTTTGCCTTCCTTTTATCTTTGAGCGGGGCTAGAACAGTTACTTTGAGCCCTGCAGAGGAATGCAAACATCAATGTAAATCATTGAAGATTGATTTAAAGGAATCTGATTTATGTAAGTAGTTTGATCGTCATATCAGTTGCTTTCTAGTAACAATAATTTTATAGTTGAAATTAATGGCATTCCTTGATCAAATTTGAAAATTAAGTAGACTTGGTGTTGGAGATGTAAAATCCCTGTAGAAAACATATTGTTATTCTTGTCAAAGATAATTAGAGAGATGACAATATGTTTTTATACATGGATTTTGATCTCGGAAACTAATCATTAGGATCACTTTATGACTCGAAGTAGTTGTACGAGCTGGAAGCCAACAATTTGTAAATTTGTACCTATACTAGTGGTCGCCCGTGACTACGTCCGCGCTGAATTAAAACGAACGTTAGTAAGCCTGTGTTCTAGAATATGCCCATTGAGTGGTTTTAGAGATACGTTCTAACAAACATCCATCCATCCATCTATCTTAACATTCGCATTTATAATATTAGTAAGATAATGGCCAGCATGTATGTTGTTTCTTATCCATAGGGTATTTTAAGGTATTTTGTTCTTTTACAGTATGGTATAATTGGTGGTACTGGAGACCAGTGGTGCAACAATCAAATGATAATACAACATTTATTGGACATGTTGGATCATATTGTTGACATTTAGGAGTGAGTAAAAGTTTAATTATCAAACACATATTTGGAATGTATAAAACATTTTATTCAGCTAACATAAATTATTTAATTATAATAAATAAATTCGCTAAAAATGTTCATTCAAACTTTTGTTTTAATTTATGTTTAAGTGCAACTGGTATTAGAGACACAAAGGCAAAGATGGTAAGAACTGCCACTGATGTCCACGACCAAGCGTCACTTGTAGATGTCAGAGTATGGAGAGTTTGGCCTGCTTGTATGGCAACAAATGATGGTGGAGCAACACCTGAAAAAGAAAAGTTTTATTATAAAAGTGTCATCAATAAACAAAATAATTCCAAAAATTCATAGCAAAATAACACATCTTTTTTTCTTTATTTTTTTAGGGACTGGACCTTTTGAACACATCAGTCCCATAACAATCTACTTAGAAAATAATTGCTACTACAAGTATACCTTCAAACAAACATCCATCCATCCATCCAAACATTTGCAATTATAATATTAAGTAATATGAGATATCGGGATACATACCAATAAAGGTTCCCAAAGCAAATGGAAATAATGGCACACCAATCACAGGTGCCGACATATTTATGAACCAATTTGGTAGAAATGGTGTTACTCTCAAAAATATTATATAATTGAGTAAATTATTGCTGTGTTTTGACACAGCTTTCGACCACTGAGCTGCTCTTTCTGGGAAAAACTTTCTCACTACTTTCTTCCCAAGCAGATTTGAAAGAAAGAAGCACAAACTAGCCCCAATCGCTGAACAACAGCAAACTAATATTAAAGCTAAATAAAATGGGAACAAAAACCCTGAAAGTATACTAAGAAATATAGAACCCGGTATTGCAAATGTTTGCAAACTGAATTATTTTGGTTAAGGTAAATTATTTTTTGTGTTTTATACAATAAAATTAATGAACATTAAATAATAAAATTAAGATATTTGATAAATTGAGCAGAAGAAAAAGTTTTTAGTTTTTAATGTACCTAAATCTCAAAATATTTTTGTGTAGTTTTGGATTGGATTCATATTGTTACTTTTTATTAATTACGGTAGGAATATAAAAAGGATACAAAATATATACTAAGAATACTCCCAACAATACTTCATGAAAATACTTGTCCTTATATCGGTCTAAAACTAAACCCAAATTCTTTGCATCTTCCAGGTCCCATGGTAACTTTAAATACTGCTTTTCACTCCTGAAATTATAAGATATTATAATTTAAAGATAAATATTACTATATTTTTGTTACTCTACTTAAATAGAAAATTTTTAGGTCACAGATTATTATACACTCCATCATATAATCTAATCTTATTCAAGTAATACTCAATTCTGTTTTGCTTTTATCTTTAACTTCAATAATGATTTAGAAATCATGGTTCTAACTATATATTTACTTACTCTTCCAATTGAGGAAATTGTCTATAAAGTACTCCTAATGTTAAAAGCGATGTACCAAAAATTATGGCTACAATTATTAAAGCCTTAGATGTAGATAAGTCATTTGTATTTGTGCTATTAATAGGATATGAAGAATCTGAAAAACAAATATTATTTTAGTATTTTAATTTAAGCTAAATGATATAGTGAGGCACGTCTTTGTTTAACTTAGTATATGTACACAATCTATTTCAAATATAGAACGTGTGAGGAAGTAAAATGAAGGAAATAGGTACTTGGGAAAGGACGATAAGGCAATCGTGTGTACTCAGTTTCTAAGAATCTCATTCTTGACTTTGTTTGACATGGTCGGTCGACCGTGGTAGAAACATGGGGATCTTGAATTTCACCTTGGACATCGTTCTCGGTAGTTCTTCGTGCTCTGCGCTCAACTGCACTCATTTCTGCGACCTATATAATTACGCAAAACAACTTCATCAAATAAATATAAAGTCTAAAATATAAGTATATTTATATTCCATTGATGATTAACTAAATTATGCTTTATCTCACAAACACAGTACAGCGGAATAAAATATTAATTTAAAAATCAAGATGACAATGACATTTGAAAATTATGAATGACAGAATCAGAAAACAACTCACGCCTCGCCGCATTTTACGTTCTTAGTTTTCAAAAAACCCAATAGCTTACTGTAGATGTATCTCTTAATTAATAGTAATTGTACAATAATATTAATTACTGCCTAAAATCTTCAAAGAAATAGAACAAATTGAATTACAAAAGTAAAGTAATATTTATGAGTGTCTTTAACGTCTAAATCAGTAAAAATAGATGGCGTTGTAATTTTGGCGCCAAATGGCAGTAACTTGAAAAATATTGTAAGAAGCGGAAAATTTTACTTTCTTCTTTTACTATACCATAATTCTTCTTGGTTTGTTGGTTCTTAACTTTTAAATAATCTCTCGCTCCAATTCAAGGGTATAATGTTTTTTTAGGAGCCAGTGAAATCATAATCCTGTTTTATTGATTTTTTAACTCACCTATATAGTATATGTATTTTTTTACTTTTGTGTTGCTCAAGGCGAAGCAACAAAATATTTTTATGAGTATAAATTTTTTTTTAACATCAATCTACATGTTCCGTGTATCTACTTCTCAGTTCTAATATTCGTACAACAAGGAATCGTAGCGTCCCCGTTCCTGTGTGCCTATGTAATACCGTTTGTATTTTGTAAATGAATGGGGGAAGGGAGAAGCGATCGCGACGACCGTCGCCCATTGCCCGCCAACGCCGCGCCTGGCCTCGCGTCGTGTTTGCGCCAGACGCAGATGCCAGACGCTAAGCGGACTTATACCGTGTCGAAAGTGCATTCGGGTAGTTCTTTTTTTCGTTCTTCCGTTGGTACAGAAAATAACATAGATTTGTTTACGTCCATTCATATTTGTTTAAAGATTTAACACCGATACAACGAATTCCTACATGGATTTCATTACATGATTGTGTAAACTTAATTGAGAAACGTTATCTAATGAATAATGTGAAATTGGTGAAAGTTCTTCCAATAATTATTGAGATGTGGTCCTTTGTGAATACTTAGCATTAATGAAGTTAAGCATTAAGGTAATCATTTTTTTATATTATGTAATTGTAATTCAACACGTAGTGGAATTATTATCGAAATTTAATTATTTATAAGTACCTACACCTACCAAGCAAAATTTACACAAAACTTCTACTAAACGTCCATTAAGTTGTGTCGAAGTTGCTAAGTACGATACAAAATATAAATAAAAAGGTAAGATCAAATTATTGCTTTCAAGCCTCTTGACGGTCAAAAATCACCGGTGTCCAAGCATTACGTTTTAATTTTTAATGTCATTAATGTCTGAGCGCAGGTAGTTAGGTAAGTACAATTTTGTATACAAATTGATAGGTTCAAATTAGATTCGGACGCACCACAGTCCCGTGTTTTACAAAATGCTGTAATAAATTATGCGATGCGAAGTTGTTGTAAGTTATTTATTAACTAGCCGTCCCTCCCGACTCCGTCCGCGCGAGAATAAAAAAAAGTTAATTAGTAGCCTATATGTTCTTCCAAGACTATGTTCTACATATATGCCAAATTTCACCGAGATCCATGCAGCCGTTTTGGACATCCCTTCTAAGAAACACCGTTCCATCCAAACATTAGCATTCACAATATTAATATGAGTAAGATAGGGTCGTTCTTATTCTTGAAACTGTTACACTCTACCACTAATCGGGCAACAGATTAAGGACAAGTTAGGTCTAAATGAAACGGGTTTATCTGATAGGGCGCCATTCACACGCGTATTCAATTTTCAATTGTTTTGACTCCAACTGAACCACTGTACATAGTTTTGGGCCAACGATCAGCAGTTACTAGAAAGGGTTTGTGTGAAAAAGAAGCGGCCTGTTATATTAAGTACTTATGTGTAACAGGTGATGCGAGGAGATATCCGCGCATGGCTGCTGATTGTTGCGGTGGCGCTGTGCAGCGCGGCGGCGAGTGCGGGGTCGGGGCCATGCGAGCGCGGTCGCAGCTGGTGGCACCGGCGGCGTGGCGCCTGCCTGCCCTGCACGCGTTGCGACCCCGCCCATCTCGCTGTGAAGTACCCTTGCGAGGTGCACCGTGACACCGTCTGCCAGCCGCTCTACGAGGTTCGCATCTTCCCCTTCAACGTTCGCCCGCGCAGGAAGAACGACAGTCTCCACAGTGAACAGTCCAGTGATTACGAATACTACGAGTATTCAGACAATAGCGGTGAAGTGACGGATATAAGTGACGATGTGATAGAATGGGACGTGCAGACGTCCACGTTGACGCTAGCAGTGAGTGGCTGTGTGGTGTTCTTTGCGGTGGTTCTCATACTGTCGCTGTACCACGCCAGGCAGTGGAAGGTGCTCAAGCAAGCGCTCAAGTCTGGTGAGTTAAGCTTTCTTTACATCTATTTCAGAATTGTTTTATTAGTAGTAGTCAATGTTTAACGAGGCAAACAACTCCTCGTATTAAGCATTACCACTACAATCTGACTATCGATAGGAGCTATACTTTAATAAAAGTATAATAAGATTTCCAAATACTGTAATGACGATAACACACACAGGGGATGTTTACAAGATGCATTACTGCCTCTGTATCTAGGTAATTAGTACTTTGATAATTCCGACGTGAAGGTGTTAACTTATTAGGTACTTAGAAGCATATATACACGCTCCTAAGTACATGAATGAAAAACCGTGCTGAATTTAAAAAAAATACTTTTAATATTATCATCTTGCGCTGTTTGTTCTAAACTAGGATAATCATTTTTGAAAACTTGTGCTATAAAAATAAGTGCGTAGTGTAATCTAGGTAAAAGATTCTTGCAAAAATGTATCCAGTTTTGCAGCTTATTTGTGTTGAATTTTAATCACAGTACCGCATTCTTTAAATAAAATCCAATCGTCTTTATTCTTATCACGTAATACTGTAACATGTACTAACGATGGCATCGTTTAGACGACACTAGATAACCGTGGGTTTCCACTGCCGAAACACTTGTATGCAAATTTCATCCTACTCTTTTACCTAGAAACACTTTCTTTGAAACATATTGTTTCAAAGAAAGTGTTTCTAGGTAATTTTAGGTAATTCTATTACCTAAAATTCGGTGGAATTTTAGGTAATCGTCAACAACTAAAGATATAAACTGTTGGTCAAATAAGATTTTAAGAAAACTGTAGGGTATATTGTAACTAGTGTAATTATTGATTACACTTAATTCCACTTCAAAAGTCCAAGCTTTGAAATTCCAAGATTTCGTACGCGCTAATTAAAAAAAAAAACATTATTAGTAG